GAACGGAGGGATGGAACGAAGTGGGGGTGGAGAGATGAGGATGGAGGAGGGGGAGGGGAAGAGAGAGAATCCAGAATGAAATACAACCTGCGAAGGAGTGGTCGTTCCTCCTCGAGCATGTACCACTTGTCCAGGATCTTGATCATCGGTGTCAGGGGAAGCAGAGAGTAGGGAGGAAGAAGGGGACAAGAAATGAGGAAGGGGAGGAAGGGGAGGGAGAGGAGGAGGAGGAAGAGGAGTGGGGAGGGAGAGGGAGAGGAGAGGGAGAGGATGGTGAGTACGGGATGATGATGATGAGGAGGAGGAGCAGGGAGAATGCATGAGAGTGTCTCACTTGCGTGTCGTCCTCCTCCTGGGCTGCCGGCTTGATCTCGTTTCCCCGTCTGAGTTGCTCTCCAGACTGTCTGGTGGCGGGACAAGAGATAAGGAGGAGGAGAGCAGCAGCCAAAAAGATATGATTTCAGGTTACAACCTACCCCTACAGAGAGAGAGAACGAGGAGAGCGAGAGCTGAGGAGAGGAAGGGAGGAGGGAAGGAACGTCGAGCTGAAGGAGGAGGTAGGGAGGAGGGAAGGAACGTCGAGCTGAAGGAGGAGGTAGGGAGGACGGAAGGAACGTCGAGCTGAAGGAGGAGGAAGGGAGGAGGGAAGGAACGTCGAGCTGAAGGAGGAGGTAGGTGGGATGTTGGAAAGGAGGAGAGAGGGAGGGACAAGGGACCGACCGTTTGCCTTCTTGTCTTCTTTGGCTTTCATCTGGAGATGCTGCTTCAAAGCAATGGCCGTGATGACTGGAGGAAAGGAACGAGCGTGAGGAACAGGAGGGCATCGCGAGGAGGAGGAAGGTGAGGAGGAGGAGGGAGAGGAGGAGAAAGGCAGAGGTGCTGCAAAGAAATCCAAAGTAGGCGAGGACGAGGTGAACTGAGGACGAGGGTGAGGTGAGGAGGAGGGTTGGATGGGAGGAATAGAAGGTACGCAGGAGGCGGAGTGAAAGGAGCACGAAACAAGTCACTTCACCGTCACTAAGGTGGACGACAACTCTGCCCATAAACGCGTCTGCCTGATCTTCGTTGTTCTCGCCCCACCCGTAATCCTTGTCCTTGATAGTGACCTGGAGGAACCAAGACTCCTGTGAGTAGGAGGAGAGGCTGACGGGGAGAGGAGGAGGGAGAGAGAGATGGTCTAAGGACGACTAAGTTGCGGTATCGAAACTGCTGTCGGAGACGAGCGGGAAGCAACGAAGCAATCAAGGACGTGAGCAGAGAACGATATGACAGGCGGAGAGGAGAGTGCTAGGAGAAGAGTATGGCGAGTATAAGGTGAAAGAGGAGCAACATTAGCAGGAAGTGCCTGGAGGAGGAGGAAGGGAGGCGGGGAGGAGGAGAGGAGGAGGAGAGGAGGAGCCACCTGAAGAGACTGGTTCATGCTTGTCACTCCGTAAGAGAAAGTCTCGTTGAAGTTGGGGTCGAGCGTGTAGGGTTTGATCTGTGCAGGTGATGAGGAAGAGTAACTCGCTGGTAGAGGGCAGACTTCGGTCTTGAGGGGTGGGACAGGACAGCCCAGGAGAGAGACTTCGGCAAAAGGCCTGGCAGAGAAAGCGTGAGTGAGTTTCACAGGGTAGCAACGGAGGAAAACGAGGGGAGGAGAGCAGGATGGTAGGGAAAGGAAGAGGAGAGAAAGAGGTGGGGGTGATGCGGTGGAGATAGCTAGCAGCGGTAGCAGACGCCAGAGCATTGGTAGTGGAAGTGTTGGTTGGAGGAGGAAGGAATGTGACCGGGACGAGAATAAGGAGTAAAAGGAGAGGAGGCGGGGAGGGGGGGAGGAGGAGGAGCAAACGTCAGGGCTGTACACCTGTCGCGAGCATCCCAAGCCCAGAATGGTACCTCCGACCCTGTCAAAGAGGTTTTACTTCAACGTTTCCTCCTCCTCTCCTCTCTTCACGTGTTCTTCCCGCTCGGTCTGTTCGTCAGGTTTTGGCTTCCACCACAGTGACGTCCAACTCGCCGCTGGTGGATAAGAGTGAGAAATCAAACATGGGGAGGCAGCAAGAAGAGACGAGGGAGAAGAAAAATGAAGAATCTGGGAGAAGAGGGAGGGAGGAAGGGAGGGAGGGAGGGGAAAAGAGGAGGGTGAATGGAAGAAGTGGGAGTAGGGAGGGAAGGAGGAAGAAGAGGGAGAGAGGAGGAGGAGGGAGAGAAGAGGAGGGAGTAGGGACGAGGGAGTAGGGAGGAGGACGAGGAAGTAGGGAGGAGGACGAGGGAGTAGGAAGGAGGAGGAGGCAAGAGAGAAGAGGACCAAGAAATGGAGAAAGACAGAGGGGAAGGGAGGGTGGCAATAGAAGGGCATGAGACTCATTCATCGCCCACCAGAGTGGCCCGTAAGTCTCCCACAGGTAAGGGATGATGTCGCTGGTGTGCACAATGGAGTCTGAGCCATGACCTCAGGAGACTCGACACGACAGGACGAGCACGTGGAGAAACCTGTGTTCGGGTCGACAAGCAGCGGCAGGTCGCACTTCCCCCCCTTCTGCTGAGCCTCACACCTCCAACGACCCTGCCGTGCGAGGTCAGCGGGCCTACGGCACGTAGCAGCGCGGAGGACGTGCCTCCCGGAAGACGGTGTCGCCAAAGTCTGTGACCTGCTCCCTGGGGCAGGGGTAGCAGATGTAATCAAGGTCTAGCACGCTCATCACTTCACGGATCTGCCTGCACACGTCCGAGTTCTGCGGCAGGGTGAGGTTTCCATCCCCAGAAGCCGCCCTCCTCCACCTCGAACTCATAGAGCCGCAGCAGAAACCTCGGTCTGTATGCTGCTAGGACGTCTTTGTGGATTCGGTCCCCAAAGTTGAACCGCAGCTTGCTGGCTAGACTGGATGAGATCCTTGATGGGGAGCAGAGATCATCAGCAAAGAAGGACAGGTGGAGCAGGTTCACCGGTCCATGGTCTCTCGGAGGAACGGGACAGCATAGTAGAACCCGTACCTTTGGAAATCGTGAGCATGTTCTCAAGGGCCCACTCGATGAAAACCATCTTGCAAAGATGACCCGCACGATCGGCAGCATGCGCGGAAACAGCTCCTGCAGAAAGAAGCCACAAGTCAATCAGGTGTGAAGTTTGAGCTTGGAGAAGCACTCCTTGAGTATCATCTAGCGCAATCAATCCTTGTACAAGTAGCACCATCTTCAAAGTTCCATGTTGAAATTACTCTTCAATCATGTTGTTCGCCTCTTGTCGCCATTGAGCAACGGCTTCTGACTCACTACTGCCGATGTTCATACTTACCCTCCTCCTCCTCCTCCTCCTCTCCCTCCTCTTGCCTTCCCCCACCACTTTTGACTCCCTCTCCTCCTCTGCCATGGCGGCACATTTTGACGGGTTTCCGATTCGACGCTTTGACTAAAACCTTTACTCAATTTTGAAGTAACTCTTAGTCACTCAGTGACGGCGCCGCAGGGGGGCAACTTGGGGCCGCCGGGGCCCGGGCCGGGCGCCGCGGCCGCCGCGATCAGGAATCCCTCGATTCAATCGGTGATAGAATCGGAGGAGGCTACAGCGGCCATCCTGGCATCATTGTTTAAAACTCGGAACCGTTCAGTACGAGTGGAGAGTACTTCAGTGGCTGAAAATAGAGGCTGCCTTGACCCTGACCTGAGTCAGTCCTTTGACACTGTCCGGCGCCGCCCGCCGCCGCCGCTGTGACTGCGGCACTGCACTGAGCCAGGCCATACGGCGAGACTCGTGCCTCAGGCCGCAGCCTCCGAACTCGGAACTCGGCCGAAAAGACAGAGAGAGCCAACCCGGCTTATCTGCCGACTGCTGTCCCCCAAACTTAACTAATAATACCTTCACTGGCTGTGACTTCCGGACCGTACCGTACTCATTCAGCTATTCTGGTACGGTGGCATTGAGGGTAGTAGAGTAGTCACTGACACCGGGGTACTCCAGCCTACCCTGTAGGGGTCGTGATTAGGCACTGCGGGCAGATGGTTGGGTACTATCCGGGGGTGACCGTAGTGGGGAGGGTGGGTGGCCCCCGGTGATCAGCAACCGAACTGATGCGTCGGGACTCACCATGCAATATTTTTACTTACTTGCACTGGGGTAATTTGAGTAAAAAGATATCATTGTGGGGGTCATGACGACCCTCGGAGATAGTCCGACGTGGGGTGGTCAAGTGGTTGTAAAGTGAGGTACGGTACAGTGTTGGTCGGTAGGGGCCTGGGGTGGGGTGCCCCGGGGTGCCGGGGACGGGTGGTGCTGTCAAAGAGAGCAGCCAATCAGTTGACTTTGCAAGTAGGGTGGGGGTGACCAGGATGCATCTTGGTGGTAGGGGTGGTCTGATTTTTAACTTTGGAGTGACTCCGGGCAGTGATGTAGACAGGGTGGGTAGCATAAAAGATAGGCTTGAAATTGAGGGTCCGGGTATGACAGTACCCCTGCATCATAGACTAAGTTTGATGGTGTATGGGGGGTCATGGCTGCTCTCGAGCTGCATCGTGGGGGGTAGGGTTGGGACATTTTTTAAGTTTGATTGTGCAAGGACAGCTGGGAGGTAGGGGTAGTCAATAGTAGGGGTCACTGCGTTAATTTCAGGCAGTGGGTAGGGGTCATTGACTACATTTCTTGACTCTATGAAGTGGGGGGGGGAGCTGGTACATGTTATAGAGGGGGGGTAGGGGGTAGAGGGTGGGGGGTAGGGAATGTGGTTTGCCGATGACTGTCACTGTCAATGGCGGTTGAAACCGACCGGAGGATGTGTTCCTCCGGGGAGAGGGAGGGAGGAAGTGAGAGAGATGGGGAGAAGAAGAGGACAAGAGATGAGGGATGCTTCAAAAGAGAGATGGATGGAAGGAGAACGTCCAGAGGGCCATGATGGGCAACTTAGTCAAGGGCAAGAGTTGAGACGAGACTTGGTCAAGCGGAAGAGTAGTGTTGATGGAGCGAGTGCCTGGTTTGGTCCCGAGTGAAGAGGATATCGTTTGAAAGGACACTTGGCAATGGTGGAAAGAGCTTCTAGTCTCAGATTGCATGCAAGGACGATTTGGCGAACGGCCCATCAATCTTTTGTCACGGCTGGCAGGAAGGAAGGGACTAGTATATAGGGAAGTAAGCAGCAAGGAATTGAGTTTAGCGAACTTGTAAAGTATAGAATGCATATTACCAGGACGATGATGTAGTGAATCAAAACTTTTTGATGGGAATCTTGGGTGAAGGTGGTTGAATCTTTCACTCTCTCCCTGACTGTTACATCGCAGAAGCTGATCAAAGTGTTGCTTGGCTTCGCAGGCCAAAGTTCGACGCATTCTCTATCATGTTGTTGAAACATATCTGACCCAAGGGGAAACTGTGAGCTTGCCATGAATTTCAATGGCTGCTTGGTTGAAACCCATATCATTTGGATGTTTTGAAAGGTGGCCTGAATCCGAATCCATCAATCATGGACGAAGCTTCGTCCATCTCTAACGCCAACACCATTGCGGGCAATGGAGTAGTTGACGAGGAGGCAAAGAAACCTGATTCTAAGAGGAGGAATTCAAAGCTCAAGCCTCTCCCTCCACCACTCCGTGAAAGGAAACGAGCTGTGATGATCAGACTTCAACCTCGGAACCTTGTGAAGCATGGCTTGATTCCGGAAATTTCCTGGCTCAAGTATTACCATAATGAGAATCAGCTCGAGGTCCAGTTGATAGACAAAGGGAATCGCTATGTTTGTCAAGACGGCGAGGTTCGCGATTTCAAGAGCTTCAGGGACGTCTCGAAGGCACAGTTCGCTGATGAGCTGGGCCTAGAGGAGATGAAGGACGTGTGGTTTATCAGTGAATTGCAAGGTGCTCCAGGACGAAGCTTGAGAGAGCTAGAAGCTCAGCTTGACAGCATGAGCTCTTCACGTTTGGAGGACGAATGTTCCGGTGATGAGGCTTATGGAACTCCTTCACAGAATGAGACGCGGCGGTCGTCTTCTGTGACAGAGACGACGAGGACATGCAAACCCGACATCTCAGCCAAGTCTCATGCCGCACCCCAGAATTGGGGGAAGAGCAAATTTCAAAACATACAAGGCAAGAAGTACCGACGAAGGAGTCAGAATTTCACAACTGTGATACATCCGGAAAGAACCTACGCCAAGCGATCCTTGTTTATCTTTGATTTGAATAATCCACTGAGAAGGGCGATCATCTCAGGCATTGAATCTCCTTGGTGGGATAGATGCGTCCTTTCGGTCATCTTTCTCAACACCTTTTTCCTCGCCATGTACGATCCCTTCGATACTCCAGACTGGCGAGAGTGCGAGCTCGGAATCACCGACCCTTATGGATATTGTAGTTGGCACAATGAGACATGGAGGCTGGCTCCAGCTGCGGGGTCTATGCTACTGTCGGGAAAGTCATGGCCACCTTTCCATCGAGACTTCTTGGATTTCTCATCCAAGATCTTCTCGGCTTTCTTCATCCTGGAATTCGTTGCCAAGATCATTGCCCTTGGGTTTATGGTGGGACCCAACACTTATCTACGAGATGCCTGGAACTGGTTGGACCTTTTGGTTGTCATCATCGGATGCCTGGACTTCATGCCTTCCTCCAACGGAAATTCGACGTCCAACTTGAGCGCCCTTCGTTCACTGAGACTTCTTCGGCCTCTGAGGGCGATCAACAGGCTTGAAGAGCTCAAATTCTTCGTGGTCCTCGTGTTTAAGGCGGTTCCCATGCTGATGAACGTCTTGCTGATCTGTGCTGTGCTGTTTCTACTCTTTGGAATTCTCGGCCTGGACTTGTATCAAGGTCTGAAACCATACTTCCTCGTGCTTTGCTTGTTGATAACTCGTTCGGACCGCAGGCGTCTTGAGGGGGAGGTGCTACGACATCGAAACAGGGATTCCAGGACAAGATGTATGCTCCAAGGGTCGAATGGTGAACGAGGAGACATACTTCTGGATCACCAAGGGGATGGACGTGACATCTTCGAGTCACGTTGGGGGGATGTTCCTGTGCCATGCAGGTGAGGAATGTCTCCTCCTTGGACAAAACCTCGGCCGGGGTTTGATCCACTTCGACGACATCGGTGAGCTGGAGCTGCTGTGTGCCGTTTGCAGCCTCGTCCTGACTCCCTCCTCTCCTGCAGGGCACTCGCTGCTTGCGATCTTTCAAATCGTCACTCTAGAGGGCTGGGCTGACATCTGCTATGCTTTGCAGGATGCTGCCGGTTTCTGGAACTTTATATACTTCCTTGCATTGATCTGCCTTGGATCTTTCTTTGCTGTCCAGCTGTTCTTGGTCGTTATCTCAAACCAGTATGCCTTCTTGATGGAACATCAACAGAAGAAACTCCCTGCGGATTCTGGAAAATCCAGCATTCTCGAGGTAAAGCGTCCTTCACTGCAAAGATCAGGGTCACTCAGCAATGTGTTGGCATCTGATCCAAAGAGGCTTGACGGTTTTGCGAGATGGAAGTTTGTCATGAAGACTTTCGTCAAGTCGGAGCTATTCGTCAACTTCATCCTCCTCGTCATCTTCTGCAACACCATCAGCATGGCGCTCGACGGCATCTGTGAGTTCGAAACTCACTCCTGGTGTGCTCCAATGAAGGCCAGCATGGAGATCGCAAACATTGTCTTCACCTTTATCTTTGCTCTCGAGATGTTTCTCAAGGTCACCTTGCTCGGGCCCCAGAGATACTTCGGAGTCGCCACTAACGTCTTCGACTTCATCATCGTCGTCCTTAGCTTCCTCGAGGTCTTCAGCGGAGGTTTTGCAAACGTCTACAAGTGTTACACCACGTCCCCGACCGAGGCAGACTTGAATGTAACCCTGTACTTGCCCACCAGCGTGAGCCAGGCCTTCCTCTCCGACGATGACATGGCTGCCCTTAGTTTTGACAAGGTGATCAGGTCAGATGAGGGAGACCTCAAAGTCAACCCATGGTTCTACTACACGTGCGGGAGTGGGAGTTTCGTCTCTCTGCTAAGGGCGCTAAGGCTCTTCCGCCTGGTGAAGCTGCTCAGCGCCTTCCCGGAGCTGCAGAAACAAGTCATGATCCTGGGCGAGGTGGTGAAGTCAGTGTTCGCTCTTATCCTCCTCATGGCCTTCTTCCTCATTATCTTCATGATCCTTGGCATGAATCTCTTCGGCGGCCTCATCACCACAGAGTGGGACGCGTCCTCCTTGCAGAAGGGCCAGGAGGTCTTCGTGACTTTCGCCAACGACTCCAACGGCGGCATCGCCCGCCATGGCATCATCTACCAGTTCAAGGGAACCGACCCGGTAGCTCCGTGGAAGGTGAAGATCGAGTTTGCAGATGTGGAGCCGGCGATAAACAGGTCGGTTGGAGGGCTGCTGGACAAGGACGGGATGGCCTGGTGCTCGACCCTGGACGATGCATCGGGAGCCGTGCCGTACATCTCCAGCATCGTCCCGAGATTTCACTACAACAACCTCGGCCAGGCGTTTATCACCTCCTTCCAGGTGCTGACGATCGCCAACTGGAACGATGACCTGTACGACACCACAGCGAGCGCGGGAGGCAACAGCGCAGTGTTCTTCTGCATGATCGTCATCGTCGGCAACTGGGTCATCTTCAACCTCTTCGTCGCTATCCTCATCTCCAAGTTCATGGACTCCAAGGCGGAGAACCTCAAGAAGAACATGAGGGACATGGAGAAGGCCTTCCAGGACGTGTTTGCAGACCTCAATGAGGAGGACCTCGTGAGGTTCGTGGAGAAAGTCTTCACATCTCTCGACGTTGACTCCTCCGGCGTGATCGACATCTACGAGCTGAGACACGCTCTGGGGAAGCTGGGGATGCAGCTGGACATCTCCTCGGTACGCGATCTCCTCCGTGAGTTTGACCACGATGGCAGTGGAGGAATCTCGTTCCAGGAGTTCCTGGTGCTCATCAAGTCGCAACTTGACAAGATAGCGAGCAAGGACACGAGGGAGAAGCTGAGAGACTCGGGGAAGAGCTTCCGGTCGGAGGAGCTTGAGTTCATCGGGAGGGTGGAGGTGCATTCCAACGAGGAGGAGGAAGAGCGAGGGACGGTGAAGGGCCTGAAGCAGGCGATCGAGCATCCCTTCTTCGACAGGTTCATCCTCGTTTGTATCGTGCTCAGCACTGTCACGCTATCGCTCGACAACAAGTACATCCCGGAGGGCAGCAGCATGGGAAGGTTTCTCTCGGGGACCGAGATCTTCCTCAACCTCGTCTTTACCATGGAGATGATCGTCAAGATCCTCGCCTGCTCGTTCAGGTCCTACTTCGCATCTTCTTGGAACCGTCTCGACATGTTCATCGTCATCACCAGCGACCTTGATATGATCCTGACGCTCGTGCATGTCGAGCAGTCGCTCAGCCTCTTCAAGTCTCTGCGAGCCTTCCGTCCTCTCGCAAGGATTCACGGTCTTCGTATTCTCCTCGAAGCCATGTTCCTCGCTGTCGCTCCTGTCATCAACACCGGCGCCATCGCCGTTGCCTCCTGCCTCCTCCTCGGCATCCTCGGCCTCCAGCTGCTCGGCTCCCAGCTGGGCTACTGCAGCGACGCGGCAGTATGGAGCAAGCTACAGTGCGACGGGATAGATGATGGGGGGAGCCCGAGGAAGTGGGAGAGCTACGTGATGAACTTTGACAACCTCGGGCAGGCCGTCCTGACGCAGCTGATGATCGCAAGCCAGGACGACTGGCCGAGCCACATGCTCGCCGGGGTTGACTCGACGGGCAAGGTGACGGGACCCCAGCAGAACACCAGCATGTCTCTTGTTGTCTTCTACCTCATCTCCTTCCTCGTCACGAGCTCGGTGATCGTCAACATGTTCGTTGCCGTGTGTGTGGACTGCTACAACACGACGCTGGTGGCTGACGGGACCAGCCAAGTGGAGGAAGAGAGAGAGAAGCTGTGCGAAGGCCGGATCAGCGACACTCCGGCCCAGTCCATGGCCCTCTCGATCATCACGAGCGTCCCGTTCGAGATCCTCATGAACGTGCTAACTGTCGTCCAGATCTGCTGCATGATGCTCGGGAGCTGGAAGCAGTCTGAGGCCCAGCACCAGGTCGACGTGTACAGCAACTTCTTCTTCACCTTCTTCTTCGGCGCCGAGTGCATCCTCAAGTTCGTAGCCCTCTCTCCTCGCCGCTACTTCAAGGGATGGGAGAATCGCCTCGACTATTTCATTGTGGTCTCCAGCTTCGTCTCCACCTCCGTGGAGGCCGTTGGGAACCTGCTGAACCCTGCTCTCCTGCGATCCGTCCGCCTCATCCGCCTCGTCCGCATCCTCCGCATCCTCCGCATCCTCCGAAGCGTCAACGGCCCGCAGGAGATCCTCTCTGCCATCGCCGGATCGACTGCCTCCATCCTGAACCTGCTCGTCCTCATAGGCGTGCTGTTCTTCATCTATGCTGTCATAGGTGTCGACGTCTTCGGCGGCCTCTGCGTCGATGGTGATCAGAACTCTGCCGGACTGCGAGCGGTGCGGTGCCTCATGACCAGCGAGGACCGCCTGCTCGATCGCCATGCGCACTTCCAGGGTATGGGAATGGCCTTGCTCACGCTCCTCCGCACAGCGACGGGGGACGCGTGGGGGGAGGTGATGGGGAGTCTTTCCCTCACGGCATCTCGCCGTGAGCCCATGGCTGCTGACGTCTGGCTGGAGGTGACCCGAGCTCTCTCGCCGCAAACATCCAACATCACCGCTCTCACCTCCTCGTCCTCCTCGTCCTCCTCGTCCTCCTCCTCGTTATCTCGCCGGAGTCACGGGCGACTGGTTCGGGATACTGTCATGGGGCCTCGGCGGGGAGAGGAGGAGCAAGAAGCGGCTCGGATCCTCGCCCTGGGCCCGGAGTTCCCTGGAGTCTCCATGGCTGTGGCCAAGTTCGCACTCCAGCAGTGGCTTGCGAGCGTCGAGGGGCAGCAGGAGACGCATGACTGGCCGCTGCCGACGCCGGAGGCCGAGCAGTGGGTCCAGCTGGCAAGGATGGCGTTGCCCAACTGTCTGACAGGAGCGGAGATGAAGAACCTGAGCGAGGCCGGGCTGGCCGACTGCTCCATCCCGGGCCACTTCCACTCGTCCGGCTCGCTCGATTGCCCGTCGACGTGCGGGCTGCCACTGCTGTGGTGCTCTGTCTTCCTGTACTCCTTCTTCGGACTGTCGGCCTACGTGATGCTGCAGCTGGTGATCGGCGTGTTGATGGACCAGCTCTCTGCTCGGCAAACGGAGGAGAAGTTGATGGGGGCCCGGCACGTGCCGGGCCGGGAGGAGCTGACCATCGCTGTCCTGCAGAGGATGTATCGCAGGTGGCTGTGGAGATTGAAGGAGGAGGAGAAGAGGCAGAGTCAGCAGCAGAGGAGGATGAGCATGATGTCATGGAGCTGATGAGCGAGCATGATGGAGAAGGAGAACGAGCGATGAGTTTTGAGGGACCAGGGTCCAAGGTGTACAGATGGCACGACAAGCATGTAAATCTAAGAATCTATCAAGTTTAAAATGAAGTTACAACAAGTTTCATACAGACTCCCAATCTAAGTGTTCCCCACAACCTGTCAACCCTCCATCCCCACCTCACCTTCCATTCTCTCTTCGCTCCCTTCCCATTCCCCCTCGCCTTTCCCTTCCCTTCCCTCTTCCTTCTCTTGTCCGTCTCCGTTGAAGAACTCCTCCAGCGGCGACAAGTCAAATTTCCTCCGCGTCCCATAGATCGGCAGCCCCACACCATATCGTGCCATAATCTCTTGATCAGTCATGAACTTCACCCTGACCTGATTCTCGCCCTTCCTCCACGCGTATGGGTCTTCCTCCTCCTCTTCCTCCCAGGTTTCCTCCACCTCTCCCTCTTGGCTAGTTTTCTCTTCTCTGAATGCATCATCCGACAGCAGCGTAGTGCTCCCCTTTCCCACCTCGACGCTTCCATCGGAGCTTCGCGCCGTACAAGAGACTTCCTCTACCTCCCCGGACTGCTCGAACTGTTCCTTCCTCCTCCTCTGCGCATCGAAGGCGCGGATCGCACCCTTGAAGCTCAACGAGATGCCTTCGGGGGACAGCTCCTGCTTCGAGCAAACGCCCTCGTCCTCCTGCTGAGTCTCCCGCAGCACCATCCTCGCCTGCGAGTTCTTCCTCGAGCTCAGTTTCAGAGCTGCCGCATGGGGCTCCTGCTTCAGCTCCCCCGGGTCGCTCTTCGCCCTCTTCCTCACAAGCGGCATGCTGGGCTGGACGAAGGCTTCAGGGCAGCTCTCCCACCTTCTTGCCCTCCCTCCTCCCACCGGGGCGCTGCAGCAGCATGCGGCGGCCACGAGCATGAGGAAGTTTAGCCTCCACATATCTGTGTAGCTCTACTCCACCTCAGGGATCAGCGAGCACGTCCTTGCGCTGAGCTCCATGGTATCCAAGTGCACGAGAGCATGGGCGACGAGCCTTTCCTGCATACCAACGAGTGAGAGGCTACAACAAACAGCTGTTCTCTTGAGAAAACCAATCTAGCGCTCCAGAGGGGATCTTTGCTCCTCCTCCTCCTCCTTCATCTGACGCCCACAATCAAAACTCATCTTCATCTGCATGCCTTGCTCACTCATCGACGTCATTGTCTCTCTATCCACTTCGTCCACCCTCCCGCTCTGACTTCGCTCTTGGACCCTGCCAGCCTCCTTCACTTCCCAAACTCTGACCTGGTTCTGCTCTTCCCCTCTTGTCCTGTAACGATCTCATGTGACCTCTACTTCGAACTCGAATGATTCTGCATCATCCATCCTCTCCTGCCTGTTCTCCTCCTTCCATCCTCCTCCCTCCAACCTGTCCTGTTTGTTCTGTTCCTTCGTCCCCTGGCCCACATCGACCTCCCCTCCCCTCTCCTCGCCGCCTCTCTCCATCTCACTTCTTCCTGCCATGTCTCTACTCTCTCCTTTCTCCCGTCTTCACTACCATTTCTCTTCCACCCTCCTCCTCTCTCCCTCCTCTTCCATCCCCGTTCCCCTCTCCGCTCCCTGCATTTTCAGTGGGGTTTACATCCCTGCCTGGACCCCTCACCCCCTCCTTTTACCATTGGACCACCCACCATACCCCATCGACCGGATCACAACCTATCGCCACCGGGCCTTCAAGCTAGTAACAATGGAGGGCAAGCGGTCCAAGTGGGCAGACAGCGAGGAGGAGGGGGAGGAGGAGGAGGAGGTGAAGGACAAGGACGAGGTAAGTTCCTCCTGCTTCTCGCTCATCTCCCTTCCTCCTCCTCCTCCTCTCCGTGTATCCGCAGCCGCAGCCGCAGCCGCAGCCTCTTTGGATCCCGCCCTTTCTCCCTCCTCGATGCGACAATATCGCTCATCTTGTTTTCTTCATTCTCACCACTCATCATCCTCTCAATCATCCTCCTCTCTTCTATCCCTCTATCCTCCTCATCGCTTCCTCGCGCCCTCCTCCTCCCTCTCTACTCTCCATGCCAGGATCAATTTTCAAACCAAGCCGCACATAACGTCCTAGCAGGTGAAGGCGGCAGGTCCTCCGCCAGCCAAGAAGTCGAAATGGGAGACCACTCCATCTCCGAGGGCCGAGAAAGGAGAGGAAGAAGGGCCCAAGGGCGAAGCGGCTGGGAAGGAGGGGCAGGCGGATTTGGTAGGGGAGCATGCGTTTCGGAACTGCAGGGTGAAATCCATTCAGGCAGCTCGAGCGACTGAGACAGGAGATGCGACGTCGGCGCTGGACATGCTGGAGGACAAGTTCGATCCTTTCTCTTCTCCCTTCGTTCTCTTACAGCAAGGAGCAGGCTGGCGGCTGGCGGCGCAGAGGGGCTAGCAGAGCAGCAGGTTGAAAGCTGGAGGGTGTGTAGGAGGAGCATGAGACATTGTCGACTTGTGCAGGAGGTGCAGAATGCAGGAGAAGAGGGGGAGAAGGGAGAGACAGCGGCTGAAGCCAAGGAAAGCGAAGCGCAGCCCATCATCGTCCAGTACAAGAAGGAGCTGAATCGGTGCAGGGAGGTAGACAGGTCCTACAAGAAGCTCAACAAGATTGACGAGGGGACGTATGGAGTTGTGTACAGAGCGGAGTATGCCTGTGCTCTCGATGATGGAGCTGTCCTCACGCGCTCTCCCTGTGCTTCAGGTGCAAGATATCGAAGAGGATCGTGGCTTTGAAGCAGGTTCGATCGCTGTCGCATGCTTGCATTGGTCCCTTGACGGCCAGCCGCTGTCTCAGGTGAAGCTCGAGAGAGCAATCGAGGGCTTCCCCTTGACGGCTCTACGTGAACTGACGGTAAGCATGTGAAGGAGCTGGCGCTGCAGATGAAATCTTACTTTTACACCCTGCCTTCCTCCTTCCTCCTCCCACTCTCCCGCACTCCCTCTTCCTCCCTCCTACCTCCTCCCTCCTCCCTCTCCAGGTCCTCCTGGGCCTCCGACACCCCAACATAGTGGACGTTATCGAGATCGTGATCAGCCCGAAGAAGCAGGTGCGAGAGCGGGAGGGGGAGCAGCAGCGCCGGGGCAGCAGGAGAGCGTGACGAGGCATGCAGGTCTTCATGGTCATGGAGTATATGGAGCATGATTTCCGGGCCCTCATGGAGACGATGAAGGCCCCGTTCCGCACTGGACAGGCAGCAGCAGCTGGGGGAGAGCTGGAGAGAGCGGTGACGATTCTGTGCTCCGCAGGTGAAGTGCCTGATGAAGCAGCTGCTGAGCGGGGTGGAGTTCATGCACAGGTCCAAGAAGGAGGAGGGCAAAGAGGAGAGGAGAGGGGAGGAGGAGGAGGAGGAGGAGGAGGAGGAGGAGGAGGAGGAGGAGGAGGAGGAGGAGGAGGAGGAGGAGGAGGAGGAGGCAGAGGAGATGGTTGTGGTGGAAAGGAGGGGGTGGGAGACAGTGAAGGAAGGAGGAGAGGCAACGAGGAGGGTGGAGGTGGGAAATATGAGGAGGAGTGAAAGAGGAGGGGAGGAGGGAAGGAGGAGGAGTGAAAGAGGAGGGGAGGTGGAAGGAGGAAGAGGCTGGGATGGGGGGGGTTCGAACCGCTTCCTGCAGGCACTGGGTGATCCACCGGGACCTCAAGACCTCGAACCTGGTGCGTTGACTTCCGAGGGTTCCACGGGCTTGACTAGGTCGGGACTTTCAGTTGCTGGACAACAAGGGATGCCTCAAAGTATGCGACTTCGGGCTCGCAAGAAAGGTCCTCCACCCTCCCCTTCCTTTCTCCCTCCACCTTCCCACCTCCTGTCCCCTCGAGCCCCAGCACGCATCCCTGCTCAGTCTGCCCCTCTCCTTTGCCTTCTCACCTGCTCCTTCTCGTCTCCTCCCTTGTTGACTTCGATATCCAGTACCACGACCCTGTCAAGGCGATGACGCCTGAGGTTGTCACTCTGTGGTACCGGGCTCCAGAGCTCCTCTACGGGGAAAAGGTATGCAAAATTACCCATTCTCTCCTTTCTCCGCTTCCAGCTCTACTCCAGCTCTACTGCAGATCATGATCTGCCAGTGCTACCCCTCTTGCTCCGCCGCTCTCTGCCTCCTCCTCAACCTCCTCCTTCGTCCATCCCCCTCCTCCCCTCCATACTTCCCTCCTCACGGAACTGGTCAGCACTACTCGATCGCCATCGATATGTGGTCGGTCGGTTGCATCTTTGCCGAGTTGGTGCTCAAGGTGAAGAAACGCAGGAGAAGAGGAAGGAGAGGAAGGAGGAGGGGGGGTTGGTGGATGAAGGGGAGTTGATCTATGGAGGAGGAGGGGTTGGAGGAGGAAGAGGGGGTCGATGGAGGAGTGGGAGTGGGGGTGAGGGGTGGTCGGCTGTGGAGGAGGAGATTTGCTGACCTCTCCTCCTCCTCTAGGAGCCGCTGCTGCGAGGAAAGACGGAGCAAGATCAGAGGGACAAGATCGTCGAGCTCATCGGTTGTCATGATGGGAGGACGAGGAGGATGGAGAGGAAGGACGAAGGGAGATGCAGGGTCTATAGGATGATGATGGCGACTACGATGATGAAGATGATAATGATGATGATGAGAGGGAGGGTATGAGGGGGTTGGAAGAGAAGGGGAAGAGCATGTTATGAGGGCTGTCAGGCCGGAAGGAGCCTGATGCTTGCTCGGCAGGAACACCAGACGAGGAGACGTGGCCCAAGTTCAAGGAGCTGCCGCTCTCAAAGGTCAGCTGAGCTCCTGCTGGGCACGGACAGTCCGACTGACCCCCTGCCGATCAGCATGTGAGGTACAAGAGGAGAAAAAACACTCTCCGAGACAAGATACCCAAGGCACCAGCACATGCTTGCTCCCTCTCCCCCTCCTCTCACTCTCCCTTCCCCCAGGTCTCCTACACTGGTGGACCTTCCTTGAGCGACCTTGGGTTCGAGATGCTATCTCGCCTCCTCTACTATGACCCGGGTAAGCCTCCAGTGACCGGAGAGGTTGACTGAGTAAGGAATTAAGAGGGTGAGGGTAGCAGGAGGATATGAGGAGAGGAAGGGAGTTGGAGGGCAGGAGGTAATGGGACAGAGCGGAGGGAAGGAGGGCTTCGTGGAGAGGAAGAAAGAAAGAGTTACGAGACGTGGGTAGGTCAGTATGGGAAGGAAGAAGGCAGGAGAGGAAGAGGGAGGGAGGGAGGGAGGGAGGGAGGGAGGGAGGGAGGGAGGGAGGAAAGGGGTAGGAGAGCAGAGCAGGGGAGTGGAGGGATGAACAAGGGAGGGTTACATGCCCCTGCAGAGCGTCGATGGACCGCCAAACGTGCTCTTGAGTCAGAGTTCTTCAAAGAGGTCTGCTACTCCCCTCTCCCCCCCCCCTCCTCTTCCCTCCCCCCGTCCTCCATTCCCTCTTCTCCTCCCTCTTCCCTTCCTCCTGTAAGGATCGTTCCTCATCGTGCTCGACCAGGCGCCTCTCGCATGCAAGCCGGAGGACATGCCGACATGGCCCAGCACGGTGCTGCTTGCCCTCGCTGCCCACGGGAGCTGACAGTTTGGCAGCACGACGAGCCAAAGGGGAGCAGGAAGAAGAAAATGACGCCTGAGGTCGACGACAGGTGGGAGTCAGCTGGAGGAGGGAGCGGAGCTCTTCTTAGTTGCGATGCAGGGCGGCGGCCTACTTCGACGAGGATGGACGTTTCAACAGGGCGAGCGATTGAAGGAGGGGAGGGGTAGCTTCAAGGGTCCATGGTGGTGAATATGGGTGATGAAGATGAACAAGTGAACATGAAGGTTGACATCGTGGTGTGTTGATATCAAGAAAGAAATGAAGATTCAAGTAGGAGTTTCGGAGGAGTTCCCTATCGACATCTCCTCTTCGCGAAGTTCCTCATTAAGAGTTGACCAGGAGCAGGAGCAGGAGCAGGAGCAGGAGCAGGAGCAGTTGTCAATCTGTTCTTCGTTTCCGTTGAAAGTTACCCCCCTACCCCAAAAGTTTCATCCACCTACCCCCCACTTTCACTACAATCACCATCTGTGATAGACCCGTGCTTAATCACCCCACCCTGCAAGTTGTCATAGCTGCTAGCAATGGTGGACGGGGATGGTGGGTTGGTAGCATGGCTGGTGGCGGCGGAGGATGGAGCAGGCGAGGGTCTGCAAGACGATCAGCTGAACTCTCTGCTGGAGAGCCTCCTCTCACACCAGGTCGACCCTCGTGAGCTCGCAGCATTCCCTGCCCAGCAGGGGGAGCAAGACGAGAAGGCGGCATTGAAGTCAGGAGCGCAGACAGTGTTGGTGAGGGAAGGAGGGAGGGAGGGAGGGAGGGAAGGGGGGGAGGGAGGGAGCTGACGACTATGACAGGATCTCATCACTCAGACGTTCTTGTACGGCTCTGAGAACGGCAGGCAGCTCGTCATCCGCATCCTTCACGCCATGGCCCTGCAGCGGAAGATGTTATGGGAGAGCCTGAGCAAGAGGAAGTTTGAAAGCGGCATCGCCTTCATCAAGCTCTTCGGTAAGCTTCCCAGCGGTGAGGTCGAGAGCATGTGGCTCCTCCTCATCGCCGACCTCTGCGTCATGCCGGAGGCTGCCAAGAAGGTCAGTCAGATTCTCTCCTCCTCCAAGGACACGCTGGACAAGGTCTTGACGCTCGTGGGGACCTCCAGCGCGCACGAGGACAGGGTGCATGCTTCGAGGATAGTGCGCTTCGTGTGCGCTCATGAGCCGCTGAAGGGCAAGATCTTGACGCTGCAAGGAGTAGTCATGAAGTTCTCCAGGCTGCTGGTGCTGCCAGGGGACGAGCAGGCGGAGCTGCTGGCGCTGCCCTCCAAGATCCAGTCGCGTCCTACGTCGAGGCAGAACCAGGCGGAAGGTCAATCGACCTTCCGAGGGAGCAGGGGAGGGGCGCAGAAGCAGACGGCGGTGAAGCGAACGCCGAGCAAGGGGAAGCTAAACGCTATCACTGAGGACGACGAGCCCCTGTCGGTGGTCGAGGAGAGGAGCATGGAGGTGGACAGCGAGTCGGGCCCGATCTCCCGCGCTGCCTCCGGGGCCCGGAGGCAGTCGGTGTCGAGCATACCGTCGGAGGGGAAGGGGAGGAGGAAGAGCGACGCCGTCAAAACTGAGCTTTTCGTCTTGACCCTGGACAACGCTTCCTCCTCCCATAGAGTGCAGGGCAACATAGCAGCGGTTCTCTAGCCCCCCCTCCCCCTCTTACCCGCTACCTGCCCTTCCAGTGCGCTCCTGCTCCCTCTTCTCCTGCTCCTGCTCCTGCTCCTGCTCCTGCTCCTGCTCCTGCTCCTGCTCCTGACCATATCTGCCGTGACTGAAGAGGCTGTGTAGACGGTGGCCACCATCCTGCAGGATGAGAAGAACTTGTCGGTGAGCTCTCAAGCCATTTCGGATTCTGCTGAACTAGTTTCTAGTCGCTCGCAGAGCATCACTTGAGCTCCTTGGTCACTCCCCTCCTCCGCCTCTTCCGCAAGTCGCATGGGTACACGAATCACCCTCTTCCCTGTCCTGTCTTGCTCCTCCCTCTGCTCTGCTCTGCTCTGCTCTGCTCTGCTCTGCTCTCACAGGCTCTCTAACTCTACCTCAGGTCGGCGCAAGAGCATGCTCTGAGAGCTCTCGGCAACCTCTTCGCCAAGCGGGGCTGCACTAGCCTCCTCCACAGCCTCGACACCCTCACAGACGTGGTGGAGGACCCGCCCAAGAAAGTCTCCTCCTCCCGCTCTGCAGACTTCTGTACCTCCTCCTCCTCCTGGTCCAGCATGACGATGACAAGACGCGCAGGTGTGCAGGTCCTCCTGCATCCTCTGCTCCAGGTCCTCCTGCAAGGAAGCGCGCGGGCTCAACAGTACGCCGCCCTGCTCGTAGCGAATTTGGTGAACGAACATGCACTAGATGTCCTCCCCCCCCCCCTCATCCTTGTCCTTGTCCTCCTCGCGCTTCTTCTTGTGCCCTCGTCCTCCCTCGCCCTCGCCCTCGTCGCCTTCTCGTCACCTCCTCCTTCTACTTTCTCATGCACTTGTTTGTGCTTGTCGTAGTCTGACTGTGGATCGCAAGGCGTGCGATGAGGCAGTATCACGCATTATCCTGGATGTGAGGGAGGGAGGGAGGGAGGGAGGGAGGGAGGGAGGGAGGGAGGGAGGGAGGGAGGGAGGGATGGATGGATGGATGGAGGGAGGGAGGGATAGGAAGGGAACGTGACTCAAGAGGCAGGTGCCAGAGCTGATCGAAGTCGTTCAATCTCGCTATCACGATCACCTCCAAGGGTGAGTGGGTGCCAACTCAGCACACCTGACTGCCCAGCAGGAACCGAGCTCGAGCTCCGACTCCCGACCTCTCGTCCAGCAGCCTGCTAGATCTCAGCTCGACAAAGAGCACGTGGGTCACCGACATATCTGGTAAGGTTCCCCTGCTCCGTGAGGGCAGACGACTGACGGCCGAGCCCAAGGGGGAGGAGGAGGAGGAGGGGGGATCGTTGGACCAACCTGCGGCGAGCTGTGCGGAGTCGCGCTGAGCAATCTGGCGAGGAGCAGAGTGGTGCCGTTCGGGGCGAAGACGAAAGGGAACTTGAAGTTTGCAACCTTGTAGATGAGAAGGGGGAGGAGAGAAGTTGTCGTGAGATGTTGTACATTGATGCTAACAAGAGCCCATCGCATCTCTGCCTCCCCTCGCTCCTCTCACCAGCTGCGGCTCCATTCCTTCGTTCCCGACGCGCGAGGAAGCGAGCAGGACGAGCACGTCACTTTACACTCCCGCCTTCATCTCCCGGGATGGAGTAGACGACCTTAGAGCCTTGGTAGAGGATGCGAGGAGAGTTCATTGTAGTCCCCTGCTGCCATGCTCCAGACTTCAGTACTGAGTTCATCTGAGGAGGGGGGGGGAAAGAGTTGTGAGGAGACGAGCCTGCGGGTTGTACTACATGACCGTTCCCAGCATGTGGCGGGAAGTGCACTTGCTGCATGTTCATCTGCATGGGAGGCGTGTAGACTGACGGCTGTCCGGGCCTCGCCTGCTGTAGGCCGTGATGGGGGAGCAACTGCTGGTAGCGCATGTCGGGGTACTGAGGGGAGAACTCCACCTGCGCCTGGGTAGTGTCCAGAACCGTCTCCTCGCCGCTCCTCGGCGTGCTCATGTTCGGGCTGAAGGGCCCTGGAGGCTCCCTCGTAACCATTCGCTCCATCCTCGTGCCAGTAGCCATCCTGTCTCTCGGAGACGCCATGGGAGCATGAGCATTCTTCTCCCTCTGCCCTGACGGGGCCCTCCCATCGCGCGGCGTGCTCATCGGCGTGCTCATCGGCGTGCCTCGAGGAGTCGCACTCGGAGAGCTCACAGACAGTCCCTGCAGGAGGAGGAGAGTGAGATACGTCACACCGTCAACATAAGGAGCAAGAAAAAGGCAGGACGAGCAAGAAGCAAGCAAGACAGACGTCTGCAGCAGCAGCAGCAGCAGCAGCAGCACTCACCCCTTTCATGGTTGTCACGATGAACTCGAGGGGAGCTATCACGATGTTGCCATTTTCCAGGGCCGACTGCTTCCTCGGAGACTCCAGCGCAGCCCCTCCTGTGGAGTCGGGCCGGTGCTTCAGCTTCGGAACGTAGATCTCCTCCGACCCGACCCGCTGCTCGGGGACCATCATGCGAGGAGTCTTGCACGACATGTCTCGATCTATCCTCTCGACGCCCGCCTGGCTGTGCATTCCATGCAAACCTCTGAGGGGCTGTTGCTCGGCGATCGCCCTCAGTCGAGAGTTGTTTTTGTGCTCAATGTCATATTTGTCCACCTTCCTTGGCTCGCACGCGCTACAAGCTTGTCCCATGCTTCTGATCGCCCAGTTGAAAGCTCAAGGGCACGGTGTTTTTTGTATCAAGTTCGCCGATAATCACAGGACATTGAACTACAACAAGCAAAACGTCAGTATGTACTTGAGGGTATCCATAGGAGGGAATGCTAGAAAGAGATCGAATTGTCCAACAACCAAGAGTATGATGAAGATCATGACAGCTCAGGGTGAGCATATCGGAGTTCATAACAAGTGGGCATTGCTTGGAATTGCCAATGTCAAATTGCGCATTAGGAGTACAGAAAAAGACAAGGAAAGGGGTGGAGCAAGGACTGCAGTAAGAGAACAAGTTCAAGAGTTGATCATCATATCAGAGTGAGAGGACAACAGGTCAGAGTTGATGATTATCGTGCATTGATATCGCAAGTGACATTGAAAATGCCGAAAGACCCGAAAGACCCTATCGGCCTCTGTGCATGAAAAAGGGTTGCAGGGTAACGACCCTCTCAACCGGCCTTCCACCCCTGCCAACCTATGCGATGTACCCCTGGTACCCTCGACAGAAATAAGGTACAACACATACATTTGAATATATCACAGATACATTCAAAAAACTCTATATAAGCTATACCAGTACATCTATTAGCGATACATTATCTTCAGGTGCTGTATGAGCCCTCGGGATTCCTGTCGGGCAGATCGAGCGATCCATGGCTACCCCTCGCCCGCGCGCCTCCTCCTCCTCCTCCTCCTCCTCCTCCTCCTCCTCCTCCTCCTCCTCCTCCTCCTCCTCCTCCTCCTCCTCCTCCTCCTCCTCTTCCCCATCTTCGTCTTCCTCCTCCTCCTTGTCACCCGTCTCCTTGTTCCCACCTGGAACACTCCCATACATCTCATCACTTCCCTTCATGCCAGGTTGCTAATGCGCAGATGTGACAATCGAGCCAGGAGACATTCATCCCTCTGAAGGATGGCCGAGGAAGGGGGGAGGATGACAATGATGATTACCAGGATGACGATGGTGAGTGGGAGCTGCATGATTCGGCTCCAACACCGCGATCAGAGACGGAAGAAGACTTCACCACCATCCAACGAAGCGCAAGCGACAGCCTCTCGGCATACGACAGCTTGATCCGCACCCCTCGGCGGCTCTCACGATTCCGCTCAGCAGGCCATCACCCGGCAAGATCAGGCCGATGGAATGCTCCCAAGATCGATCTCAACTCGTCTCCCAGGAATTCGAGCCCGAACGAGGCATCGTTCGGTAGGGCACAAACGTCGCCATCGCTGATAACAAGGCTCTCCAGCAGTCCTTTCCGAGCCACATTCCTAAGGAAACGGATCCCGGCAAAACCTCTCCATCCTCCTCCCTTGGATTCTTTCGAGGACAAGGAGGAGGACAACGTGCCAGACAGCATCGTTGCAGAGGCTGAAATAGTGATCAATGCAGCTGAAAATTTCCTTCGCTCCATTCCAGCGAGCATCCAGACGTTTGAAAGGGTGCTGTCGGAGCTGGGCAGCGCCCTGGAGGGGGGAGGCAGCCAAGGGGCCGACAGAGACCTGCTGATGCAGAAAGAGCAGACGATCAGAGACAGGATACAGCATTGCGGGACAGCCGAGGTTGAAATCAACAATGTGAAGACATGGCTGCGCGATCAGATCTCGAACCGCACCATCGTGCCGAACCTCTTTCGAGCGAACATTCAGCGCCTGTCGAACATGATCGAGATCGCGCAGAAGAATTTGACTTCCCCCGCTGATGAGGTGCTTGTTGTCACTGTAGAGGGGACCGGGCCGCTCGACGCTGTCGAGGAGATCGACAAGGTTTGTGTGCTAGTTTCTGTGGTGAACAGAGCTACGGGGGTGTTCCTGAAGAAGAGCAGGACGCTAAGGTATCCTGCATGGACTGCAGATGTCCTGTGTCTGATGTGGGTTTGCAGTACTGTGATTCAGAGGTATGAGAAACGAGCCGTCCTCGATGTGAAGTACTCTAGGGATTCCAAGAGCCGGCAGATCCAGTATCGGCCGACGGCAGAAGGATATTCGTATATACTCCCATGCCTGACGCAGCCGTCCGACGTCGGCAACGAGAGCTACGTCCTGCCTTCTGGGTCCTCCATGCCTTCAAAGTACCGTCCGGCCTGGAATGAAGAATTCCTGTACGACGAAGAGGTCTGTTGAGAAGAAGAGACCTGTTGTGCTGCTACACGTTAAGAGGTTTCCTCGCCCTCCATCGCTCTTGTCGGGCACTCGACGACTCTGATCTCACGCTCTTCCTCTCCTTCGTCTTCTCATCCTCTCAGCCTGCAACCACCCATCCCTCTTGCCGTCACCGGCAGGCTGACTTTGACACCTTAGGTGGAGCATCTGCTGGGAGAAGACGTCGTCTTCTTCTTCGAGATCATCGACCTCGTCGACACCTCCCGCTCGTCTCTGCCGCAAGGGCAACGTCCTTGGAACCGAATCGCGTGGGCGTTCTATCGGCCGAGCAACCTGGCATCCGAGCAGGACCAGGGCGTGAGGAGGAAGTCTGCTGGGAAGGAGAGGCCCAGCTCTCTTGCGAGGTCCCTTGGGAAGTCTCTAGATCTCCAGCTCTACAGATACTCTTGGCCCTGGCTGTCAAGAACTTGGAGGGGTCTGACAGGATCGCCGTCCCCAGCAGCCGCTGACTTCAACAGCCAGTGCGTTGCCTACAGGTCCTGGAGTCGGGGAAAGCCTTCCGGGCCCCGGCCCTCCTGGAAGCCGTACCCGAGTACCCTCTCAGTAACCTTCGAGAGGATCGCTCGGCCCGTCCTCGAGATCGTCCCCAGGAGCATCCCAGCCGACGTCTCAGTCCGTGAAGTCACCCTGACAAACTTCTTTGCGGTCTCCGGCGTCAGCCTGCACGTGCGGGCGACCGAGGCCCTGTGGAAGGGCGACGAAGTTCAGATCGCTTTTCCCGACAGTCGCTGGGTGGGGAGGCTCACTGGAGCTTCGACGAGCCCACAGGGGACGCTACGAGGCCTCGGGAGCGGAAAGGAGGGAGTACTTAGGGTGAGGGATCCTTCGAGCCTGCGCGCTGCTCTGCGTGACTTTCCTGTCCCGTCCTCCTAGTTCCAGGTCCAGCGCTCGCTGGGGAGGGAGCCAGCGTTTGAGATCCGGTTGACCATTGAAGTTGTCCTGCACTACGGTGAGCTCGGGCAACGTCCTTGCGATATCCCGCTGAACCATGTCCTTGCCTTGTCCGCTCCCGCCCTGCAGTGATGAAGCATCCGAGCAAGCTCCGAGTCCACGTGGAGGTGACGAGGACGAGGTCGTCCATGCCCTGGCAGCTGGAGCAGGAGAGCACTATGGCGGGGGAGCATGACTCTGTGACGAGGATGCGGAGGAGCGCGCAGCTCAAGACTGAAGGTAGAAGTTCTCCGCTATTCCCTCCTCCCTCCCCTCCCCATCTTCTTCCACCGCGAGACCCAAACAAGCCCTGACTCCCCTCCTCCAGCAGATGACAAGCAGCCAGCTGACCCCAAGATACACGACCTTCTTAGAGCAAGGCTGGACAAGGCTTCCCGTCAGGTAGAGCCTTGTTTCCTATGTCTGCACTCGAATGATCGCGGCCCTTAGGGCAACTGGTGTAGAGTCCCTGAGAGGGTCAGGTCTTCGCTCGCGACAGGGGCCGGCGGCTGTTCTTGTGTCGAGTTCTGCTCGTCGGCGAACCTCGTGGCAGTGGCGATGTGCAATGATCACGTGGTCCTGCTGCTCCTGCTCCTGCTCCTGCCCCTGCCCCTGCCCCTGCTCCTGCTCCTGCTCCTGCTCCTGCTCCTGCTCCTGCTCCTGCTCCTGCTCCTGCCCCTGCCCCTGCTCCTGCTTCTGCTCCTGCTCCTCCTCGTCCTCGACCTTGTCCTCGTCCTTCTTCTCTTTGTCTTGCGTACTGCTTCTCTTCTTCCTCTCCTGCTGTGTGAACTTTCGCTGATTCATTCCAGCAGTCTTCTCCTCTCAACATCTACGACACGTCCAATGGAGATCTCCTCAGACGGCTGGACGCTCATCGAGGGATTGTCTACTGCCTTGAATGGTCTACCGTGAAGCTTGCAGGTGGCAGAGAAGACAGGAGGAGGAGGAGGAGGAGGAGGAGAATGGGAGCGGGAGCAGGAGCGGGAGCAGGAGCAGGAGTGAGAGAGTGGTGAAGGACAGAGAGGCAGCGAGGGAAACGATGGTAATTGAGAGGACGATGATACTGGAGAAGATTGCGATGGAGAAGAAACGATGATGATGGAGATAATACAGATGATAGAGAAGAACAGGGAACGATGGTGGTGGTGGTGGTGGTGGTGGTGGTGGTGATGATGATGATGATGATGATGATGATGATGATGATGATGATGATGATGATGATGATGATGATGATGGTACTTCCCCTGGATTCACCAGCCATGGTTCGGTCCTGACGCTGGGCTGACGTCCCTTAGGAGCTACAACCCATGTGCTTCTCTCTTCCAGTGCGGACAGGACGGTGAAGGTCTGGAACGTCAGGAGCGGCGAGGTGCTAGCGACTCTCTACCACCCGGACTTCGTCTACTCATCATCCTTCCTCCGCTTCCCTCCTCGAGCTCCCGCCTCCTCTCCTGCCGCTACTGCTGACGATGCTGCTGCATCGGTGGACTCGACGGAGCTCCCGGCTGCTGTTGGAAGTGACGGAGGGGAGGACGGGCTGCATGTAGTGACGGCCGGGTACGAGGGGAGGGTGAAGGTATGGAACGTGTGCTACGAGAGCAGGGGGGAGGCTCTGCCGGTAGTAGGAGAGTTCAGCACGGTGGTCAAGGCAGACCTGCTGTATGCTGAGAAGAGGAACGTCGACAACTGCCTGCTGGTGGTCTTGTTCGACGCCCGGCAAGAGTTTGAGGAGGATGACTGCTTCGTTGTCTACCTGCCAGGGTTCGAGCTCGCGCCCGACGCTGCTTCCCAGGAGCAGGCGGCTCCTGCGGAGTTCAAGAGCGTGGTGAACAGAGATGGGTGGGCTATGGACTACGAGAACGAGGAGTGGTGCTGCGAGCAGGGCAGCTTCCCCTTCCCTCTAGCCAAGAGCGACGCGCCCCTGCTCATCAGGGCGGAGGCTGCGACCTCGGGCGTGTTCCTGCATGTGAGGATAGCGAGCAAGGTTCCTGCAACCCAGCCCTTCGCCATTCTCGTCCCTGAGGTGACTGACGTCTCGTCGTCTCGTTGCGCTGCTGACGTGGTGGGCAGGGCTCGGGCGTGTGTCCTCCCTGGGACGATCAGGAGGACGAGGGGCTGGCCCAGTCTGTGGACACGTCGCTGCGAGGAAGAGGACAGAACAAGGTAGAGGACGAGGACGAGTACGAGTACGAGGACGAGGACGAGGACGAGGACGAGGACGAGGAGTTCTGGCAGGCAGTATGGAAGGAGATGCAAACTCCCCGTGCTCTGCACGAGCTCCGTCGTCGCTGGACAGCCTTGAAGGCAAGGCGTCCTCGCGGCGCGGTGAAGCCTCAGCAGTGCCTGCTCGTCTTGCCCAGAGTCGCGCCGAGGCCTTGGAGGGCTGACGTCACGGCCAGCGAGACCGCCCACGTGTGGGAAGAGGAGAGGGTCCCGGACGACGTGACCATCTCGTTCGTACCCATGGTGGACCTGCACCCCTCCGACCATCTCACTGTCTTCCTCCCTGGGTTCCGCAGCCTCGACACTCACTTGGGGACGAGGACGAAGCATGGCGAGCGAGTGGCCGTCACGACTTACCACGGCGTCTCCTCCAGGTCCTCCTTCCACCTCATCCCTTGCGCTCTGTTCTTCTGCCCCGACCTCTCCCTCTCCCTCCTCCGCATTGCAGTCAGGTCGCACATCAAGGCAGGGGAGGACGTTAGCTTCACCCTCTACGACCTTTTCCAAGGCTCCCACCGCGACTGTGGCATCGTCGTCCCCACTGGGTCGATCCCCGGCAGGGCCCTTCACTCCAGCCACGAGGTCGGCTTCAGCGTTAGGCTCGAACTCTCCCCCTCCCTCTCCCTCTCCTTCCGCCTTAACTCCATCCTGAGGAGGCAGGACGAGCTGGCCGTCTGGCTGCCGGAGGACGTCGGGTACGGAGCAGCGTCCGACCTGCTCGTCCTCAACATGTGCGACGCAGCTGTCATCTCCGAGGACCTCGACGACTATCGCCAGCTCGTCGCTAGCAGCCATGACGTGTGGGGGAGGGCGACGCTGGACGGGGAGGCGAGGGTGTTACGGATCACAGCTGGGAAGGCCGCTGAGGAGGGATCGCTAATGCTGCTGTCTCTCCCAAGCATCCAGCCGCTGCCCGGCTCCGACTACCTGCGGTACATCCCCCTGTTCCTCCTAGACCGAGAGCCTGCGAGCATGAACGTCAAGTTGAAGAGCAACCCCTGGGTGGAGGATGGAGAGCTCGTAGCTACCATCAGCCTCCACAGCTCCCCCGTCAACTCCCTCTGCGTTCCAGCCAGAAGCTTCTCCGACCGCCGTCGGCTCATTACGGTGAGAGCATGTATTGCTAGTAGGGTGCTGATGAGTCTCCTCCTCCCCTCTCTCCCTCCCTCTCTCCCTCCCTCCTTCTTTCCTTCCCTCCCTCCCTCCTCCTTACCATCCTGCTTCACCAGGGAGATTCGGATGGGGTCATTTGCATGTGGGACATTGGAAGGGTGTTGGGCGAGGAGGAGAAGTTCGTCCTGGACCTGCGGCCAGTGGACGTCTCAAGGCTCTTCGACCGGCAAGGGTTGAAGACGAAAGAGGAGGAGGAAGAGATCGACGAAGCCAAGGCTTCGTCTCATGGCTACTCTATCGCCAGCATCCGATCGGGTAAACCTCCTCCTCCTCCTCCTCCTCCTCCTCCTCCTCCTCTTCTGCCCCATCCGCTATCCTCACTATGACTCACAACATCATATTTTCCTCCTCCTTGACCACTACCACCTTGATCTACTGTGAAACCTCCTGTCCTGTCCTGTCCTGTCCTGTCCTGTCCTGTCCTGTCCTGTCCTGTCCTGTCCTCTTCATGACACGTTGGCTATACAATCAGATCAGCGCGGCAGAAAGCTCGCCGTGCTCACAGCAGACAGCATGGTCAGGGTCTTTGATCTCTCGAACTTGCAACTCCTCTGGAGCTTCGGTGGATTTCTCTGCCAGCGACCCAGCGCTTGCATCAAGTGAAGCAGGACAAGCATTGTTCTCCCATCCTCTGACTCTCCCCTTCCTCCAGGATGGACTTCAGCTCGGACGGCAACTTTCTCAGCTGCGGCAGTGAGGACGGCAGGCTGTTGCTGTGGTGCATGAAGACAGGAGCAACCCAAGACAGTCCGTTCAAGAAGCTTCTCAGGTTTCTTCTCCTCTTCTCCGCTCTTTACTCCCTCCTCCTTTTCACCATCACCTTGTACAGATCCTCCTCCTCCGTATGCTGGAGCCCCTCCTCTCCTCTCCTCGCTCTCTACGCGCCGTGTCGCCCCAGCCCCGTCTTCCTTCTTGAGTTCGACGAGAACCGTGCGGAGCCAAGCATCAGCTCTCCGCCATGAGCGATGAGCGGCAAGGAAGCATGCTGCTCGCACTCGAGCCGTCCTGCTTGTCTGAAGACACAACGTCGACGTCCCTGCGCGCTTGCTCCTTCCCTGAGGGGAAGGAGTTTGTACAACAAGGCAGATCCACCCAGGAGGTTGGACTCTAGGGTTCAGAGGTACTTCCGTGCGATGTTCCGCACGCGCTGGTCGAAGGCCTGAAGGAGGAGAGGGTAAGAAGGAGGAGGAGGGAGAGTAGGTTTACAGCAGATCTGATGGAGTCGTTGGGGTGGTGGAAGGGGTTAAGGAGGATCTGTTGAGAACGTCAGGTGAGATCAACGTGGGATGTAGAGATAGATCATTATGGTATGTGAGAGGGTTGGGATGTAGATCATGGAAAATATGTTCGACAAGATGTAAATGTGTACAACAGACCACAACGTCACGAGAAGAAACATCACCATCATGAACACATGCACACAGTCGACCGAGCACGAATGGTGCAGCAGTCCCAATCTCCTTCATGACAGGCTACTAGACCTCTCCACCTCTCCACCTCTCCACCTCTCCTCCTCACCTTGAGGTACAGCTCGTGGACCTCGGTGAAGAAGCTTTTCACCTGCTCCTCGCCCTTCCCGTCGTGCAGCAGGAGAAACCGCATGTCTGCCAGCATCGACCGTCACCGCCAGTTCTCCCACATCTCCTCCGCTCACGGCCAGCAGTCACATATGCCGAGATGCTCCTGTCATTGAACTTGTCCACCACCTTGAGGAACCTACACGCCTGACATCATCCCCTCTCTTCCTCCTCCCTCCTCTCACATGCTCGGCGTCTTCCACATTTCCTCGTCCACAATGTCCAGAGCCTGTTCCACCAGCGGTCAACAGCCACCATGGGAGGGCGCGGCAGCGCACAGCATGGATGAAGAACTGGTTCTGCTGGTTGACAGACGAATCATCCCTCTGCTACAGGTCACAGGGAAACACCTCGAACAAGGCAGCAGGCAACCTTGCTCGATACCGAGAGCTCGTATACAGGGTTGTCGTTCTTGCCGACGATGACGAAGGTGTATGACGATGTCGCCATGCTCGTCCTCGTCCCTTGGATCCTGCTCCTGCTCCTGCTCCTGCTCCTGCTCCTGCTCCTGCTCCGGCTCCGGCTCCTGCTCCTGCTCCTTCTCCTGTGCTCCCCCTCGGACGCTTGCCCACTGTAAAACAAAAAAAAAGTGGCTTGCCCGACAGCTTCAGTCCAAATCGAGGGAGAAGAGGAGAGGAGGAGATTCGTTGAAGAAACAAGCAAGCTCCTCCTCTTGCTCCTCCTCTTGCTCCTCCTCTTTGCTCCTCTTCTTGCTCCTCCTCCTCTTTGCTCCTCTTCTTGCTCCTCCATACACATCCTCTCCTCGTCCTCTCCTCGTCCTCTCCTCGTCCTCGTCCTCGTCCTCGTCCTCGTCCTTGCCTGCTCCCTTCCTATATCCCCTCCATCAGTGCAGCATGTTTTACAGCGTCTGAGGCAGCGAGGCGTCCTGGGAGTGAGCGGCAAGAGCTCTCAGCCTCAAGACACCCACACGCTCGTCGCCTGCTGCGACATGCCGGGAGACCTTACGGATGATCGGCTCGAGGGAAGCATCTTCCAATGGTGAAATGAACCCTCCCTGCTCCCTGCTCCCTCCTCCCTCCTCCCTCCTCCCTCCTCCCTCCTCCCTCCTCCCTCCTCCCTCCTCCCTCCTCCCTCCTCCCTCCTCCCTCCTCCTCACTTTCCTTCTCTGTCCCTCTCCTCTGCCCTCCTTCGTCCCCGTGCTTCTCCTCCTTAACACACAACCACCACCATTGATACCTCCTCCTCCTCACCACCACCACCATCATCCTCATTACCACATTCCTTGGCACCCTCGTCCTCCTGGTCTGCCTGTACCGCCATTTCCTCCTGCTCCTCCTCATCCTCCATGCCACAGATCAGAGGAGGAGGTCGTGCCAGCGGCGATGACTACAAAACTTCCTCGAGCAAAGTACAGCAGGTACTCTCCGACTCATGGAGTTCAAATGAGGGAGAGGGAGGAGGAGGAGGGAGATGCGAGAGTTTGAGGAGGTGAGGGAGAAGGAGGACGAGGACGAGGACGAGGACGAGGACGAGGACGAGGAGGAGGAGGATGTGAGAGTGAATCGCTGTGTTAAGCTGAGCGTTTATGGAAGTGACGGATGAAGAGGAAGAGGGGATGTGAAAGGACGGTAGAGCACAAGGAGGTAGAGCAAGGGAGAAATGTAGAAGGAGCACGAGCACGAGCACGAGCACGAGCACGAGCAGCAGCAGCAGCAGCAGCAGCAGCAGCAGAAGCAGAAGGAAACGAAGCAGGACAGTGACTGTTCTGCAGACTCTTTCGCTGTTACGTCTCGCGCTTCGATCATGACTGCCCTTGGGTCTCTAACGTCGTCGGTGCCAAAAATCACCGGTGAGTCGTTGCTCCTCCCTCCCCGCCTTGCTCCTGCTCCTGCTCCTGCTCCTGCTCCTGCTCCTGCTCCTGCTCCTGCTCCTGCTCCTCCTGCTCCTCCTGCCCCTACCCCCCCCTTGCTCTTCTCCTCCCCTTCCTCCTGCTCCTCCTCCTCTTGCTCATCCCCTCTGACGTCCTCCAGGTGTTTCCTGCTCTTCCTCCTCTTCGTCAACCTCTGCCTTGGCTCTTGGGTGTATGCCTGCTACCAGTTCATGATCGTGGAGCTGCAGCTGGCCAGCACTTGCTCCACACCAGGGACAGCAGGAGCAGGAGCAGGAGCAGGAGCAGGAGGGACTGGCAACCGAACAGATCTTACCGCAAGCTCGATCTCGACATCGGCGCTGCTATCTAACGCCTGCCCCGGCACCTGGGATGAAGTTGTGAGGCGAGGAGCAGGAGTGGCGGTTCCAGTCGTCATGCTGGCGATCTACAGCGTCTTCTTCGTCTTCACCCTCCTCATGGTCGCCCTTGCCTGCTACCTGTCCTCTCCTCCTCATGCCTCCTATATGACCATTCCTCTCTCCCTCCTTCTCTCTTTCTTTCTCAGCATCTTCCCCTTCTTGCCTACCTGCCCTACATGTTCGTTTTCCTCCGTCATCACATGCTGCTACATCAGATTCTCGTCCAGTCAGAGCAAATTGCACGGAACGTGACTACGAATGAGATTATCAACTCGCACAGGTGTTGTAGTGAGATGTCAATCATGGCCATGATGATGGAGATGATTTTGTTGGAGACGATGATGATGGTGATGTTGTTAGATGATGACGATGATGGAGATGATGATGATTCTTACGCCCTGTCCGTCTGAACTTATGGATCCTCCATTCCAGATACAGGGAGTGGAAGAGAGAGGATGGGAGTTCTTTCAACCCTTACTCCAAGGGCTGCTGCAGCAATTGTGCAGAGTTTTGTCTGGGATATTACAACTACCTCGATGAGCAAGACTCCTCCAAGCACTCCAAGCGGTCAGCCCAGAACCTTCTACCCTCCTCCTCCTCCCCTCCTTCCTCTGCTCCCCTTCTCCTCGCTCTCCTCCTGCTCCCCTGCTCCTTCTCCATCTACTCCTCTTCCTTCCCCTCCTCTTTCGTTCCTTCTACCAAACTTCGTCTGCTCCCGAGCTCGTTGACTCGAAACTCCAGCAAGTCCGGCATCGAGATGCTTGCCCTTCTCCGCCCTACTGCAGATGACCGACGGCGGTTCGTCGCGTGGCCGAGGAGGAAGGAGGAGGAGCGCTGCTTCAAGTTTGACCTTATCGTAAGCCTGCCTGTCCGACGAGATCAGCGTGAGTGACTCAAGTCTGTCGGCAGGAGCAGAACGAGGGCAGCGATCACGAGTCGAATCAACAGGAGGAGGAGGAGGAGGAGGAGGAGGCTGAGAGAGGAGGAAAGCATGCCTGAGTCTGCGGCGGCAAGTGTATGATGCCCGTAACTTATCACTTAGTAAGTGAAGACCCTCGGAGTCAGACCAGGCTAAGCCTAATGATAGTCTACCGTCAGGCATTCGTTAAGTTACCCTGCTATTGCCAGATGAGGTTGCCCAGCTTTGAAGCATGCAGTTACCAAGTCAAAGTTGCGTCTGAGCCCGCGGCCGCCGCACAGCCTGGGCCCGGGCCGGGGCGGGGGCCGACGTCGGGCCGTGACCGTACGGTACGGTCGTACTCCGTACACCGCCGGTCAGTCCGGCGTGACTCTGTGACTCACCGTACACGCCGGTGACTGGCTGGCACGGTGGCGGCGGCCGCCGCCGCCGCAGTGCCATCAGCCGCCGGGCACGGTGCCGGGCAGTGTGGCCAGCCCGGGCCGCGGGTAGGCTACCGGGTCCGACTCGGACCCCGGCACACCGTACGGTGAGCGCCGTGTCACGCCCGGCCCGGCCCGGGCGCGGCCCGCCCGTCCGAGTGAGTCACTGGCAGTTTGAAACCGAGAAGTAACGGTTTAACCGTAATGTAACGGAACGTTCGATGAATTCTTTAGGTTGATAGGGGTAGGGGTGATTTTCAAGGACTGACTTACTATGAAAAAGGGGGGTACTTTGAGGTATGAAAGGGGGTGGGGTACTAAATGTGGGGGAAGCAGTTGGCTGACTCTTCACAGGCACCGCTTCAATGCTCGCGTCTTTGTTCACCAAGCTCGAAGGTGAGGGATACACATGCGCTGCTGTATGGGAGGAAGACGAGGAGAAAGTGAAGATATAGATGGCAATATCGTGAAGAAAGAGATGAGAATATCATGGACATGAGAAGTAAGAGGAACATTGAGAGAGAAGAGAGAAAGAACCGGAAGATGAGATGAGCAGAACGTGGATAGATATATGGACCATGAAAGTAAGAAGACAACAGGAACATCATAAGGACGATGATTCTATGGAAGAAGAGGACAGCAAGAAAGAACAGCGGAATGGAGGACGTAGATAGGGAGCCACCATAAATGATTGATTCTGTCGCAATGCAGACCTAGGTAACTATGTAGGTTAGAGATAGATTGCTTTCGGAAATTAGATGGAGAACGATGCTCTTGCTCCCGAGGCCAAGGCAGGAAGAGGAAGTTGGTTGCATGTTGTTCATATTTCTCAGCAGAGTATAAATGAGATGTCAGTCTTGCAATAACACAAGATATGATTACTGGGAACGATCGCATAGGATAAGCTTTAAGAAATAATTTTTTCTTAGTCTGATCGGTGCACCGATCTTGATTTACAACAGAATGAGGACAAAGTGTACAATAATTTGAGCTGTGCAATGTCAAGTAGAGTCCGGGTTGTTGTTACTTTTTTCTCATCGCTTGCTTCTACTTGTTGGTTGTCCTTGTGAGAGTGGTGGCAGAAGTGAAGAAGCTCGATCGCAACGCCTGCGTTGCCGAACTCTCCAAGCTCCACGTCCATCTTCCTGTGAAGCTTCCCAACGACAACTCGGAAGTCTCCTGCACCGTCACCCTCAACTGAAGATGATCTCGACCTAGGTTGAAACTTGCAATCACTTGCATTTTCCGGTTAACTTGGGTTGCAGCAAGCTCGTCAAGGGTCGATTCTTCACGTGGAGTTTCTTTGCGCCGACCACACTGATGGCGCATTTGTTTTTGACATGAAGAGACAGACATTCCGATGTTCTTGTCATAAAACATTTCCCAGCTCTAACTCTTGAAAGTTTGTTGATGTCTACTCCCTTCTTGGCTCCCTGGGCTGAGGTGGAAACTCTGACTATCAAGGGAGGCTCTGAAAGTCGATGTTGGCATCCCTTCGTCGATTCACCTTACTGCTGCCAAGGTCTGCGACAGAGAGATCAAGGATTCGTTGCTTGACTCTCCCGGATGTTGAACTTGGCACATGATACCTGATTCTTCAGTATCTCATGCCATACTTACTAGCCGGGCCATCATGGCATGTCTGAGGCTCTAACTTAGGAGCTCAGTAAGCAACAGATCCGAAGTTGGCGGGACGACGGCCGGGCCGCCCGGCCCCCCGCGGGCCAGTTCGGACTCCGGGCGCATGGCGGGCCATGGCTGATGTCACTGCCACCGTGGCCCAGCGTGGCTGCCCGTCGGCCGCCCGGGCGGCGCCGCACACCGTGACTACTGAGGCTGAACGTAAACCCTAACTAAACCAGCGAAAGCCGTTAAAAAAAAAACGGTACGGCTTGTGCCATGTTTATTAGTTTTGGTTTAGACATCAGAAGCGGGACCTCGAAAAATGAGTCGCAACACAGGGGCGATGTCCAGGTAAGCGAGATCAGAAGGAGTATGATGGTTGAGAATGCAGAGTGTGGAAGGAAGAGATTGAGGACCATGTGCACGAGAACAAACAACAGATTATTTCACGACGCATGCGATTCATCTCTGCAAGTAAAGACTAAAGGGTTCATGGTCTTGAATTGTAGGCCGTGAAGTCTCAACAATTCTTCGGATTTCCTGTGTCAAGCACTTGTGATGGTCGTCACCGTGAGATTTCTTGGATTGTTGGTTGTGGATCATCATTCAGACGCTTTTCTGCTCGAGTCTATGCCCTTCCGAACAGATCGTTGTCGCCTAGTTCTGCACCCCATTTCTCAAGGTTTCGTACCTCCTTGACACATACCTCTTCGTTGCAACCAGCCTTGAGAGAATTGATTGATTCGAATCAAGCGCAGTGTGCCTGCTTGAATGCAAGTTCATCGGATATCCTATGGTGATGGAAAATACTCTTAAGAAACTCACAAATAGCATGAAACTACAATCCTGTTCCAAGGTCCGTAATAAGGATGACAAGCGAAACTTGAGTGCAAAATTTCTCAAAATATGAAGAGAGATTGCAGAATTTTTTCACTTGAAACATTTTGATCTCTCTTCATCATGACCCTACATTTAGGGTTTAAGCACATCCCATGCTTGCGTTTCTGATGATTTCCTTTGTTCGAAAAAATGACCTCATTGTTTGTGCAGAAGCTGGGAGGGTTTTCTGATTTTGGCGTTTCTTCACTGCACCAATGTGAGCTTGCAGATCCCAATGAGATGTGCATGCTGGTTCAACTCATTACCTGAAGCTGCTTGTGTTGTGATTGCTGGTTCAGCTCATTACCTGAAGCTGCTTGTGATGTGCATGCTGGTTCAACTCATTACCTGAAGCTGCTTGTGATGTGCATGCTGGTTCAGCTCATTACCTGAAGCTGCTTGTGATGTGCATGCTGGTTCAACTCATTACCTGAAGCTGCTTGTGATGTGCAGGCCTGGTTTGCGAGCATTTCCCATGTACCAACAGCATCCCAGCAGGCCAAGGGCCAAAGGCCTCCGCTGATGGGCCTCAGACGGTCTCCCTCCTCCCGCATGGAATCTGCGCTGAACATGTTCTGCGCAGGGCTCAAATGAGAGTACTCCCTCCTTCTAGCATCGTGGTCGATGTCGAAGCTATTTCGTCTTCAGCTATGAACTCTGGAAACTGCAAGCGGGGTCATTGCGACCAGCCGTTGGGATTTGTAAGGAACGAAAGATACGTGGCAGTATTGCTCAGCACTTTCTAGGTGAAGTGCGATATTGAGTCATTGAATTCTGGATCGGAATGTCGAAATATGGTGGCAAGGACAACCTATGTATTCATTTTCTGTCGTCCACTATTCTAACTTGAATCTCTAATGCAGTATTTGTGTAGGTGTCTGGGATGGTGAAAGATGTAGGTTCTAATGTGAAGGTGATCAAGAAGGGCGACGTAATATTTGCTCCAGCTGCTTTTGGTAAACACATAGACCCAAGTGATTTGGCTTGGAGGCGATGTTTTGACTTGTGCGCTGGTTGAACAGGGGTGAAGGTCAAGCAGGAGCTTGAGATTGATTTTCAAGTTGCTGTGACCAAACCTAAAACATTCACTGCATCTCAGGCTGCTGTCTTCCCATCCCTTGCATGCCTCATCCTCCAGGCTTTGTGGAGATGTGGAATATCGAATACAAGCATCCTTATGGGCAAGCGAGTGATTGTCACAGGAGGTACAAGTCCCGTTGGCTCGCTTGCAATTCAGTACTTCAAAGCCCTGGGATGCTACGTGATCGCTACCAGCGACAAATCCGGGAAGGAGGAGCAGAGGATCGGGGCTGATGAGATCGTCGATTACAAGTCAGTATCTTTCTACGACGAGCTCAGCGACCTTTTCCTCGTCGTCGATGCTCTTGGTTCCTCCGCTGAGGAAGAGTTTGCCCTGAGGAGGGGAGGAGTTCTTTATGCATCCATCATGAATCCGTTGGTGGCCCTGGTTACAAGGGAGGGAGTCCTCAAAGGTGGAATTGAGGTCTACAAGTTCAGCAGAGGGGAGGAGACGCCATGTCAGTGGGTCCTGTCAGAGGAAGGTGCCAACTCTCTACGTGAATTTGCATATTTGTTGCAAGAGGCAAATGTGAAGCCGAGGTTTGACAAGGAAAGTTACACCGCTGCAGAGTGGCTAGAGGCAATGAGTTGGCCCAAGGATGTGGACACAGGGCTGCGCTACGGCTTCCCTGGACCATCATTGTGGAAGGAAGAGGACGGGACAAGTACCTTGTCTCAGGAGATGTCTGAATCCGATCGGGACGAGGATCAGGAAGTTTTGCAAGACGAAGAAAGCATGAGAGAGATGTATGACAGACTTAACAAAGATGATTCGAATGAGATCAGCTTTGAAGAGTTCAAACGAGCACAAATGGGGGCTGTAAGACAGATTGAATCGGAAGAGCAGATCAAGGGTATCCTCATGAACTCGCCGCCCGATATGCCAGTGCTGGTTGAATTCCATGCCCCATTCTGCATGACATGCCGTAAAATGATGGCAAGATTCAGCAAAATGTCGAAGAAGAAAAGAGATGCTATCTTTCTAAGTGTCAATGTGAAAGAGCACAAGAGTGTGGCAAGTATGTACAATGTGAAGGACGTTCCTTCTTTTGTGCTTTTTCGCAGTGGGTCATTGATCGCTCAGTACAAGGGGGCAATAAGTGAGCGAGAGTTGTTGAAGCTCATCGAAAGCTAAAACCGTAAAACCTTTACAAATTTAATAGGAAGAGATGAATAATGAATACCTTGACAGCTTCACTACGAGCCGTTTATGATGTGTTTGCTCGTGAATGAACAAATCTCACATTTTCTTTCCTTCCTCTGATTCTGACTTGTTGATGAAGTCATTGATTTTTCCGCATAAGTTGCAGTTGACTTGCTGGTAAACTATCTTGACTTTGCCCTTCTCTTCTCGCAGCATTTGCGCTAACATGGAAATCTCCTTGTCAGAGTTCTCCAGTCTCCTATTCAGTGCATCGCATCGCTTTACGGCCGCAAGGTACTCCTCCTCCTTCTTTCGCATCCGGGTCGAATGTTTCTCGTTCGCCTCTTCAATGGCGGCTTGTAATGCCTGATCTGCCTGATTCTTCACCTGTTCTAACTCCTTATTTCGTGAATCTCTCTCCACTTTCAGCTCATTCCTCGCAGTTTCGGCCACAAGCTTCAAGTAATTCATCTCTCGATCGACAGCCTGTAACTTCTCGAGCAGCTTCGTTTCGAAGTCAAGGCTATCGTGCGTCAAAAGGCCGTCGTTCCTTGCATCATCCAACATGCGCGAGTGCAGGTTGTTGTAGTATGCTTCTTGTCTTTTCAGCTGTGCGGACATTTCCCTCTGATGCCTCTCATCGATCTGCTGCAATTCTGCTTTCAACGAATCTATCTCATCTCTAAGCTCCCCGATCTGTCAAGATTATCAGTCCACGAACAATCATCAGAATTGAGTGCATCTCAACTCACAAGTTGCCTGTCTTTCATCCTTTCTTCTTCCATAGTCTCTATCATCGCCTGGAATCGTGTCCTCTCTTCTTCTACCGCCTCTTCCATGAGCGTTTGAACCCCCGCAAGGTCAAATCTCGCCATTGAACTTGGGCCACTGCTTTGATGTCTTTTTGGTGCACTCCCGGTCGCCGCGGCGGTTACTGCTCAGTCAGGACCGGCCCGCCGCGCGGCGGCGCCCGGCCCGGGACTGTCCGAAACCCGGTGACCTGGGCGGCCCGGCAGTCCCGGCGTCACTGACTCGCGGCCAGGCCGCCGCACTGCGGCAACTTGATGTTCTGGAAGAACTTCGCATGGCAACAAAGGAGCAGTTGTGGAATAAGCACCAACTCGAAATTGTCGCCAAGAATATGCAGTACGGTCATCGCCTTCCGAACCTCACTGTCAGCGGCCGCAGGCTCCCGATCCCCTAGAAGCGCAGGAGAGTCTCGAGTCCGACCGGAATGGTTGGCGGAACAGAAAAAGAACGGAAGTGGGCGTAGCAAGCAGACATCAGTCATACCTTGATAACTTTTCACTGAAACTTAGCTATTTTATTGCAGCGTCGCACCCGGAACTCTCGAGCCGTTATTTCACTTGTCAGTATTCCACTGCGCCGATAGCGAGGGCTTCTTTATAGTGAAGAATCAAGGCGCTTTGCAGTTCCATCCAGCCACTTTGTATACTCGTCAAATCTTCGTCATTCTCAAGAGGAAGTCGATGTTGTAAGGATGATGATACAATAGGATTTCCAGCAAACGACTCACTGCTGTTGTCCATTCCATCATATTCCTCATCCTGACTGTTTTCAACTTCAACCTGAACATCGGCGGCGTCTGCACCATCGGATGTTTGTGCATCATGCGCAAGTATGATGTTCTGAAGAATACAACATGTTACGAACATGTTGTCCACTTCTTCCTTGTACCAAAAGTTGCACGGATTCTTCACACACCTGAAACGCATCTTCAATCTTCCAAAAAAGCATTCCACATCCTTGCGACATGATTCCAGCGCTCGAGACCACTGTCGACTATCAATGTCCACTGTGTGAGGTAAAGGACATTGTAACACCCTCCAACAGTGATAGCCTTGATCGACCATGATCCACAATCCTTTGTGAGTTTGTACACGACCTCCACCAACATACAAGTCAAACTCTTCCTGCGCATAACGAGTTCCCTGATGCACGGATTGCAAGAAGGAATCGTAGCGTGCGATCATCTTGTCATTGAACGATCCGGGAAATCCACGGGTGATGGACAGAGCTTTTCCACTATGGTCCACACACACTTGATATGCAATTGTTGGAAATTTCTCTTTGCCTTTGTACGACGGAAGATCTTGGGCTGGACACTTGTCCCAGGGGATATGTACGCATTCACATGACGCAATACATCCAGGAAAGCCTTTCTTGCGGTACATCTCCGTGGTTTTGAAGATTTCTTCCGGCGAGGTCGGGGGATATACATACTTGTGATACTGCTTTGCCATGTTTCGACAGAACATGTGGAAAAAGTTGCGATTGGATGCCTCACATGCCCCATTCCCTTCACGGATATTGTTGAAACGGTGCCCTCCTCCTAACACACGCAGAACACCAAGAATCATGAGTTCAAGGGGCGGCATGGGCTGCCCACACACGTTGGTGATCTGATCATGATACCATTTCTCTTCACGAGCCAGTTTCACAATGTCAAGAAAAACAGGATATGGCAAACGAAAACTACGCCTGAATTCTTTGGCAGCACGTGAGGATGGATCAGCAAGTGAAGGATCTTGCAGGAGCACAGCCCACCTCGATGCTGCATAATTCCTTGGGAGCCGAGGCTGCTCCTCCACCCTTCGCTTCTTTCGAGCTCGTGGAAGAGGGACAGAGTCATGCAGTGATTGAGCTTGTTGAGCGGAAATGTAAAGTCTCATCAATTCAAGAAGACAAGCAAACAGAAACAAGAACTCGGGGTCATCAACATGAAAATTGTCGCCGTCCATGTACGATGCCGACGGCATGGCTTTGGCGGGAATTATCTTTTTCAAGAAATCCAGAGGGCCCGGGGAAAAAAAGAAAGCGAAATCCGGGTCTGGAAAAAGAAAACCGTTTCTTCGAGTCAGTCAGTTGAGTCCCCCGGCCCCCAGCAGAGTCGACCGTACTCGGCCGAATCCGGCGGCCCCGGCCGCCGGCGGCGATCGGACTCCGCCGGCACATACTGCGGCGGCGCGGCAGCTGCTCACTGCGGCTGCTCAGACTGCAGCCTGGCCCACCTGTGACCCCGGCGGCGCCCCGGCGACTCTGAGCCGCGACGGACCGTACGAGTCGTGGCGGCGCCGCGGCGCCGGGGCCCGTGATCGGATCGGGGATCGGACCGCCCGGGCCGGCCGCACTGCCGGCCCGGCCGCACCGTGAGCGGCCGCGGCACCGCCGGCCCTCCGACCGTCAGCGGAGTCAGTACGGCACCGTACTACGGTACCGGGCCGGGCCGTGTCACGTCGGATTACTCAGTCACGAGAGGCACCACTGGGCCACACGGTCGTCGGAGGCGGCGGGCCGCGCATCCGGCGCGCCCGGCCGCCGGCGACCGGCGGACTCCGGGACAGTGAACTTCCGAAGTCGGGCCCGGGGGCGAAGGCTGAAGGTGAACTTCGCCTTAGCAAGATTGAGTAAATCAAGAGTGGCCAACTTCGAAACTTGACGAGGCTATGGATGATGCCAGGAGGGGCCTGATCGGACGGGTGGCCGCCCCGCTGACTCGCTGATCATGCCAGTTACTGCGGCCGAGCTCGCGTGACTCGTTGCAAATTGATCAAATGTAAAACGTTTCAAGTTTATTCATTGAATCATCACTAGGGCCCGGGGCAACTTTCATCCAACATGAAAACAGCCTTGACCGTACATCTGGATCTCGATCACAATCATCAAGATAGTAATGAAGCAGACAGTTCTCATGAAATAGAAGACATAGTTCTCTGTGCCCGTCCTGAATCAGCCCTTTCGTTCGTTTTTCTCCCAAACTCGACTGCAAATCCTTGCATAGCATTAAACATTTTCCTTGCAACCGAAGGCACATTCATAAACTTTCGAAATTTCTTTTCTTTTCGCTTGAATGTCTGAGGTGGTGGGATTTCACCGACAGTCTCATTCAATTCGTTTAGAGTAATCTTTTGGCTTTGGAAGGCGTTGGGAGCACCTGGTTGGCTCGACTTGTTTTCAGGAAGAGAAAACTTTCGGGCTTGCATCACTGATCGCAAAAATTTCTCCTTGATCAAATCCTTCGATCCATCTTGTTCTAATTCTCCTTCTCCTTCTCCTTCTCCTCCTCCCTCTCCTTCTGTTTTCAAGTGTTCAAGCACTGGCTCAAATGAACTATTTTTGCTCTTCACCATGTCCAGGCACAAACTATTTCCTGTCATTTGAGCACAACTGTTGTTGTTCTTCTTGTTCGCCTTGGTTCTTCTCTGGAATACTGTTATGTGTATCTTCGCTCCTTCGCTGCTCTCAATCGAAAGTCAAAGCTTTCATACAGAGCTGTCGTGGCTTGTTGGTCCTTGCCCTTAGCTTCCTCTCTTGTCCAAGGTGGTAAAAAAATCGAGCAGTCTTTAGCTAGCCAGTCCCATCGCAAACTGTACTCGTACCCCCACCTCCCTTAACTCAACACCACCCCTTGTTCAGACCGTAAATACTACCGGATCAGGATAAAGCTTCAGGACCCTTGAGTGGTACCTTGAGGTGGCCTCTCAAAAGTTCCTTGTATCATATTGACCTTTCTTATCAACCACCCCCCTTTCTACATACCCGTAGTACCCATTATGGACATGGGTCCTGTAGCGTCTGAAGGTACTAAAATTACTACCACGTTTACTCAAAGTTAAGTTAAAAATTAGTAGTACGTTGTTCATTGGCCGCGCAGAAGAAGGCAACTTTGAGTTCTTTTTTTGGAAGGGGGGGTTGGGGTGGGGTTGGGGGTTAATTTTTCAAAGTTTGTGTTTAAATTTGAATATTCTCAGATGTCCTCAAAACATTGATGTTGAAATCAGAAAGTTCCCTAAAAAAAACTTTGGCTTTCCAAAGACTTTTTCCCGCACAATATACTTTCATTAAACTCTGAAAGTTTTCTGTGATTTTTATTGTTTAGCACCATAAACGGCCACACTGACCGTACATCATGACTCAGTCGGAGTCTGAGCCTGAGTCGAGCACCGGCGACACAGGCTCTGCACTCGACAAAATCATGCGCGCCGGGCCGCGATGCTTTGGGTTTCACTGATCCTAGCCTACAGTCTATCCGAGTCTCATCACTCATCATCCGATGGCACCGTCCGATCCGGTCAACGGGCCCGGGGCCGGGCCGGGGTGCTCCTCAACTTGCCATCGGATCATCGGATTCTGGCCCAAGTTTCGGCCGGCCCGGGGAAGTTCGTGTGCCGGGCCATTCTGGTAAACTCGGTCCGTCTTGGGGTGAGCACTGCTCGTACTGATTTTTCACTTAACTTTGAGTAAAGTGGCCAGGCTGTCAGGCTTTTTGCCTGTCACGCCGCCGGCGGTTACGCTGGGATTGCGCCGGTTAAAGTTAAGGATTTGAATTGCCAAGGCGTCACTGCGACCGCTCCGGTGGGGTTTGGGGCGCAGGCGAAGATCCTGCAACGGAAATAGGCACGATCTCGTAACGGCTGATCGCAAAGTCCCACGTGATGGATTCATCTGGATCCTTCTCGTGCCTACTGGGCCTTAGGAGCCTGCTCTTGAAAACACATCGTTTCGCATCCACACTCCGGATGCTGACATACTGCCCTCATCACACCACCCCCACCCCCCTTTCAACTGGTTTTCAACCGCCGACGATGCGGCCCAACGATTCAATCTCAAGACTACCCCTTCGTTCTAGAACAAATCCCACCCTTGCTTCATAGAGCAACATGCTGGTTCTTTACCCCTACCCTTTCCTGTAAAACCACCCCTAGCGAATATCCATGACTTGGTACCCCTCCTTGTCCCTGTCGAAGTACCCCACCCTTTCGAAGATCTCGAGTCTTATGGCACGGGCATCTGTCTCCGTGGAATAACTCACATGTGCCACCCTTACCCTCAGAATCATTCGAATGTACCCTACCCACTATTTGACTATACAATTTTGTATGATTACACCGGTACGAAGGGAACCACCCACCCCGTTCAACCCCCTTGCCCCTGTAAGGACATCATCGGTTGTGCTGACTGTCACTGCCATCTATACCATGACTGCAGTCACAACCTCCACCCCACCCACCTTTCCAGAATTTGTCGAATAGTACCCTGAAGATAGGATCAAAAAATGGGGTATTTGAGGGGTACAAACCAGAGAGGTAGGGTAGGGGGTGCCCCTTGAGGTAGCAGGAAGGAAAGGTTTAATATTCACGACGAGAACAGCAGAACACATCAGTTACCGCGACCGACATGTCCGCCATGGTGGGCATGAAGCGAAATCGCGCGATGTATGAGGAACTAGGTGGAAGCCAGATCGAAGGGAGCACTGCATGCCATGCAACAAAGATGCAGAAACTGCGCAAAACTGCACGTGTCTCTTTCAACCCTTACGTCGTCTGCCGCAATGTCGTAATCGCTGATGATACAGAATCCGACATCGTTTCCGACAATGGAGAACAGGTTGCTGCGCAACGTGACATTAGCATGTTCGAGGATCTTGTCTGTGCCGTGAAGGATCACGACGGAACTGTACTGGAGACTACCGTGGCGGGTCAGATTGTGCAGGCATACATCAAGGACGCAAGCCTCAAGACGTGTCAGAAGATGATCGACTTTCTCGAGAGCAAGGGGTTGCTCGATCTCATTCTCAAGGTCAAGGCTTTGATTCTTCACCTTATCATTCGGATAGCTGAAAGGGGATCCGCGGGGATGTACAAGCCTTGTTATTCTTTTCATAGATCCTCCATCCCGATGTTCTTTACTATCTCCAAAGCTCTTCATGCAGCAGCCTCGAGACTGCAGGAGCAAGCACAGAACCCGAACACAACAAGTTTTGTGAAAAGTTTTGAGTTGACACCAATTGTAAATAGTGTAAATACCGAATTTTCAGTAAAGGCATGTTGATCTGTTTAAAGAGTTGTCTTTGGTCGATAACTGACTGTAAGGTTCACAAGTGTTTAATAACTGGTTGGTCTGTTGCATAAATGGCAAAATGCCAGGATGTTCCAAGGCATTTCAGACGCTTACAAAACTGAATATCGGTTGAGAATTTCTTTCCAAGATGCACATTCATTGCTTGGATTGACACCCTTGCAACTTGAGACGAGTGCGTATTAATGAAATTGCACGACAGCATTTGATGGCAAACACTGAAAGCATCACTCTCGCTCGCTCGCTCGCTCGCTTCCTCTCTCCCTCGTTCGCTGGCTTCCTTGCTCCCTAGCTATCCCCACCCCCCAATCCTATCTCTTCGACCATGTGCATCGTGTGTTTGCATGACATTAGAGCCTACTTTGGTATATTCATTGCAGCAATCTTGGAAATCATTGACCAAGTAGAGTGAATCAAGCTAAAGCGCTAGAAAATTGATGTTATGGTCAAGCAAGGTATGGACCGCCTGTTTTGTATGTCAAATCATATAAAGTTGATGATGATAAAGACGTGGAAGTGTTCTTACCTGTCATTGCACCAATGCACTTGATGCGATTTGAGATATAAGAAAAGGTCGTGATGCAATAGTCAACGCGCTCCTTGTTTTTCTCGATGTTGTTCAGAGTGTTTCTGCTCATTAGTTGTTCGGGCATCTGGTGGTAAAGCAGGTTGAGAGAGTGCGAAGAGAGATTTAGATCGTGCTATCAGATAAAGTGACATCGATAAACATCAGTCAACAGCAATGTTCAATCAGGGCAACAGAAAGGGAATACAGCCCATGGTCGGCATTGTTCTTTTTTGTCTTGGTTCACATTTTATCAGTTTTTGCATGCATGATGTTCCAGATTGCTAATGATAGAAACATAAACAATCATAATGGAAGATCTCTTCGTGAGGTCGAGTACTCTGTTCTATATGTGACTTCAATCGTTCCAAAATCTTTTTTCCTCATTGATCACCAACAGCATCGCTTTGCCATCAGCCGGATTCATGAATCGTTTGATCATCGACAAGTAAATTCATCCTTGTTCTGAGGATACATACAACATCCATACAATTAACATGCAAATCATGTCAACAAGCATTTACACCACAAAGCGCTTCTCAATACAACTGAGTGCTGCCTTCGGGGAATCTTGAACATTTGCTGATCTATCTATGATAATTTCTTGAAAACAGCACATCTCATTGTGAACATTAATGCATTGATGTTGTCAGAATCATCTTACCCCCTCGATCGCAGTCAGCATCGTCGTCCTCTGCGCGCCCTCAATATCCCAAGTTCCATGCATTACGAAGAGACAGTGCAGCCGTTATATTTGCGGGAAAACGTTACGTTTGATCGTAAGATCCGTTAGAGATTTCGTGGTTCATCTTGAAACGGTTGTTTCTGAAGGAGGTATGTAACGGCTGTAACGACTGATTCAGTTATTCACGCCCACGTGATGGGCGCCCATACAGTCTCACAACTCATTACGTATGGGGGTACTAGATGGTTCCACTCCGTTCGAGATACACTTCAAGACACGAAATCGTTCAAGTAGAGCACTAATAGAAACCCCTGATGCTACCTTGTGCCATGGAGCTGATGACAATGATGTCCTACCCTCTCCTCCAGGGGGTAGGGGGTACCCTCAAAAGTAGTTGAGCACGGACTGAGAAATACGTGACAGGTTGCTCGTGATCTTTACCACATAACAAATCACTGCAGGAGAAACGACGTGTTTTTCCTACTCAGAAGTCTCCCACGTGACAGTGGTTGCGTAGCTCAATAGGATCCCACGTGACGGATTATTTGATAAGTTGCTTTTTCACACTATCCTCTGAATCCATGGCCAGTCAGTGAAACTGAAGAGTTGTATGATTGCATTTTCGAGAACTCTGGCTTCTTCCCCCTTTCCCAGACTATTCCCCGGATTCTTTTGACCCCCAATTTTCTGAAAGTACCCCGTCATAAGAGCAATATTTGTATGTGAATACCACCCGTAAACTGTTGACCCCACCTCCCACATACATTCCCCCGCTACCCTACTTACAGCCTCATCAACAACTCTTTTAAGATTAAAAACCATGCAAACCTCCACCCCCTGATTCAAAGTACCCCTTATTAGACCTAATGTTTGCACTACTTGAGGTAGGTACCACAATGATGACAGGGGGTAGGGGTGAGGTGACTACTTTTAAGACTTAGAGGGGTTTGCTATAAATCCTGGTAAACAGGCAGGAACGAACATCGAACTAAGATGCTCGGAAAGCGCCATGGATATTCAGACGAGAGAGAAGAGGGAAGCATAATGGAGATCAGCGAGAGGAGGGAGACAGAAGCTGTCCCTCGCAAGCGAGCTCGTGTCTCCTTCAACTCCAACATCATGTACAGGACAGTCATCGTTCATTCCGAGGAGGAGGAGCTTCATTTGACTGAGCTAGCACCAGCCACCAGGGATGAGGGTCTGTTCCAGGATGCGTTTATGCCCATGAAGACTCACGACGGCTCTTCTGCTGAGTGCGAGATCGCATGGAAGCTCTTCAACGCCGTCCGCACGGATAGGAGCATGACAACGTTTCACCAGATGGTGGAACTGATTGCGATGCAAGGCATGGCGGACTTGCTCCTGAAAGTGAAGGGTGTCATCATGGAGTTGATCATCCGCATTGCCCGCAAGGGATCCGCTGGGTTCGCCAAGTCGGCGTCTGTCTTCAAGAAGTCCTCCCTCCCCGTGCTGCTGGAGATTACCAAGGCTCTCCATGCATCGGCCATGAGGATTCGATGCAGATCGGGGCATACCGTCTGCCATGCTGGCGCTTCTGCTCCTGTTGCACTCACGACTTGCACATGAGGTTGTAGAGGAGGTGTAGAATTCTTTCAAGCTTGTCATTTTTCCTGTAAATAAAATTCTTTCTGCCACATACCTCCTTGCCGTCTCTCGTGAAGCTTATCCGATGTTTTGCTCTGAGGGAAAGCGTTCGCCTCATGCAGGATTAAGAGGAGCAGGAGCAGGAGCAGGAGCAGGAGCAGGAGCAGGAGCAGGAGCAGGAGCAGGAGCAGGAGCGGGAGCAGGAGCAGGAGCGGGAGCAGGAGCAAGAGGTTGATGGAAGTCTGGGAGGAGGTACGAGAGGATTAGAGGAAGGCAAGACATCCTTTATCATCTAGTGGGCCAAAGAAGGAAGAGAAAGAGGGATGGCCATATCAGCAGCCAGAAAGGAGAGAAGCGCGTGAGATCGATATCAGCAGCCAGAAAGGAGAGAAGCGCGTGAGATCGAGGCTGTAGTCACCGTCATTTCCATCAGGGAGGGAGGCGGGGAGGGGGGAGGGGGGAGGGGAGTGGGGAGGGAGAGGGGGATGAGCGAGAAAAGGAGGAGGAGAGGGAGGAGGAGGAGGGAGGCAAGGGTCCACTAACCTTTGCACGATGAGATATCTCCTCCTGCCGCCCACGTACGACAGCATCAGCATGCAGAGCCTGCGAGCGGCGTGTGAGCGAGGAGGGCGGAGGAGGAGGAGCGGATGCCTGATGGGAAAGAAGTATGCGAAGGCTGCGGCGATGGGAGGGCGGAGGGTGGGAGGGAGCAAGCTAGAAGATACACAGAGGACCTGCATCCTGCACGGTAGTGTCAGTGAAGTGAAGTGGGAGAGGGAGGCAGCATAAGGGAGGGAGACAGGATGGTTGTAGCAACGAAGATGATTGAGGTGGCCCGCAAGAAGGGAAGAGGAGAGCTGAAGGAGGGGCGGGGG